CATAGCGGCACTGCACAATCACACTATCAAAGATAGTCTAAGGAAAGCAAATTTTGTTTTGAAGAGCAATTAAACAGTCCAAATCCAAATCACAAGCGATCAGTCCAGTTCACGAATCCAAAATTAGTAACAGTACGAAATCAACAAGCACGAACATGTAAAGATGCGTAGTAAACGAAGGAGTACTGATCGGTATCAAAGTGTGCAATAGCAAGTAAGTGATGTGCTTCATCCATACCACATACAGCGTGTTCAACCTCTCCTGCCCTGGGATTATGAGCCCCGAGTTGCTTTTTGTCGCACAATGTTAGAAAGACACAGGAAAGATCCAAAGTTCTTTGAAAAAATTTTATGGTCGGATGAGACCACATTTAAGAAAGATGGGTACATGAACCTGCATAACTTACACGAGTGGCACGTAGCAAACCCACATTTGATGAGAGAAGATAAATCTCAATATCGCTTTAAGATAAACCATTGGACAGGAATTTTAAATGGTAAAATAATCGGTCCGTTTGAGTTCCCAGAGACTTTGACTGCTGAAGTTTATTTGGATTTTTTGAAAAATCATGTACAAAATTTATTGGTAAACGTGCCACTGAGTATTTACAGGGACATGTGGTTTCAGCATGATGGCTGCCCAGCGCACTATGCACTCTCAGTGAGAGAGTATCTCGATCAAAACTTTCCAGGCAGATGGATAAGGCGGTCTGGTACAATACCGTGGCCAGCCCGATCACCTGATTTGAATCCTTTAGATTTTTTACTGGGGAACTGTAAAAGAAGAAGTGTATTTCAAGCCGATTCAAAATGTAGCTGAGCTACGGCAAAGACTATTGGAAGCAGCTGAGTTTGTTAATAACCGTGGATTCGCTCGTTTAATAACCCGATATTTTTTAAGAAGATGTCGAGCGTGTATTGCGGCTGAAGGAAAACAGTTTGAGCATTTGCTGTAAAGATAAATCATCATCAGCAGCATTTTGACGCCCACTGTTGTGCAAACAGTTATCCTTAAGGGTCCTTATGCGTTTTCATAATCGCTGTTTAATTAGGAAATTTTTAAAAATTTTCATCAGTTTTTTTTTCAAATAAAAATTGTGCATAAGTTAACGAGTAATCTTCTAAGTGTTATACCATTTTGGAATCGTTATTACGAGTAAATGCGCCAACTTTTAAGGTTACTTGCCAAACTCTCGTAGTACAGTTTTTTCCAGTACAGCCAGTTAAAGTTGAGCAAAGTTTTACTATGGAATACTTGGTTGGGAAATAAGTGGCAATTTTTTCTGAACACATACATAAAATTTTTTTAAATATTTTTCTGATAGCTGTTATGACTTTGCCTATCACCCGGTTTCGGCTTGACGTCGACTTCTGGGACACCCTGCATAATGAATTTTTGCTATACTGCAAATTTTATATACCCAGGTCTAAATTTCGCCATGCTCTTCAATAAATTAGTAGTGATATCCGGAAAACAGGTGTTTTGGGATAAACAATTAGAAATTCTCAAACAACTACTTAACCATTATACTCCAATTATGCTGTTGTTATTCAGAAGTGTGAATCCTGCGGATTTGAAGAATTTCAAGTAGTTGCGTAAAATTATCGTCGCATTACCAACAAGTCCCTAAACCTGCATTTTGCCTGGTTTTTCGGCCATAACATTTTTGCTATTAGTCGGATCTTTTCACGTGTGATCTCATTCTGTAGGTCTCATAAATACCTAAATATCTCTCATTAAAAGTTTTTTCGATCCTGTCAACACTTTCGATTGAATCCCAAAAAACACGTTTTCTCATTCTTTGTTGTCAAATAAAAAGTTTTCCCATAAAAATTGGTGTAACCATTTTATGCGTCCATATTTAAAAAGCGCCCTTGAACAACTTGCACCAATAAAACCGGACTTTGCAATCATTTCGGGGAAATTTGCTAATATGATTAGACTATATGTTAGATGAACGCCTACATTGTAAATATACATTTATGAGATTTGCTTAGCGGTGCGCCTGCAGCCTGTCCAGAAAATGCGTCGATTCATGCTCAAAGTCAATACCACACGTCCCGCATTTCTTCCTGCATATGTTTCTATTTATGTTGCTTGGAATTCGTTTAATTCACAGAGATTCTGCACTACACGTGAATATGTACAGCCCTGTATTCCTGTTCTTATTTCGTACAAACATACATTATCAAAATAATTACGATCTAACATACCTGTATATAGTTTTTTCCAAAGATTTCCAACATTTTTACATGCGATCAACACTGATTCGAAAACTGAGAAAGCAACAACTATGCCGTAAATCTAAGTTCGACAACGAATGTCTGAAGAATAACTGTAACATCTACATTGAATTTCAAAAAATAATTGACTGTTGATATTTTTAGCACCTGCTGATATAAGTGACACATAAATCCGAACAACCAGTTTAAATGGTTTTATTTACACAATCTATACGAGTCCACTTCAAGATTTGTACCAAAATATGCCTTTATAAACTAAACATGACGAAACTATTTACTTCTAAAACAATTTATTTTCTCAAAAACATTTTAGATACACTCTAGTCGTAAAAAATACATATTTGAAATCAATTAGACCTATAACTAATACATCTGAACAAATGAACAATGTGCGAATAAATGCGCGAAGTTAACAAAGCAACAATTGAAAGATTACCATTGGGTAACATCACCTTTATTTTTTATTACGGCTGAAATTCTTTGGGGCATAGTGTTAACCAAGTTTTGGCAAAAATTTGGTGTAAAACAATCCCATATTTCTCGAAGCTTTTGTCACAGTTCGGTGATTGTACGAGCAGGATGTTGTCGTAGAACCTTTTTCATCTCGTGCCACAAAGTTTCAATAGGTGACAGATCTGGACTGCTAGAAACCCATTTCAAAAGTGGTACATTATTTTCTTCCATCCATTTTATAGCCTTTTTTGAGGTATGGCACGCTGCACCATCTTGCTGAAACACAAAATCTTGGCCGGATGTCAAACATTCTTCCTTCACTGGTAAAAGCGATTCTTCTAAAATTGCCAAATATTTGTTTGTATCCACATTTCCATCAATAAAATGAAGTTTTCCTACTCCTTTTGATGACATACTGCCCCACACCATAATGGATGCTGGAAATTTCACTTTTCTTTCAGACAGTCAACATGGAATGCTTCATTTTTTTGAGAATAACTCTACTGCGACTGTCACCAACACAAACTTCGAATCGGGCATCATCACTCCATTGTATTGCACACCATTGTTGAGGTGTCCATTGTCTATGTTCTTTAGCCCATATAAGCCGATTTTTATTTTGCAGTGGAGTTAATAGTGGCTTTTCTTTGGCCTATAAACAAGTTGTGCAACTTTAGGGTTTTTATTTCACTTTTTTTTATAAGAAAACTTACCTTGCAAGTGATAAATCCCAGTTTGTGGGCCTCTCTATGAGTTGTGGACCTCGAAGTTCTCCTTCCAACAGCGTCACTCCACAGAGCACTTAATTGTAAATAATTGCCACGCCTGTTTTTCACGATTATTCTTCTTAATGCTCTTCGGTCGGCATTTGTGATATTACTTTTTTTCACATATCGTGGCTTAGTATTAACTGAACCAGTTACGTTATATTTTCTAACAATATTTCTCACACTGTACCGCGATAAGTCTAACAAAGTTTCAATTTCTGAGTTTGATTTCCCAGAGTTAAAAAATTTAATTATCAGTAACCGAAGTTTCTCACTAATAACCTTTCCTCTAGCCATTTTGAAAACCTTAAATACCCAAAACTATTTTAAACGTATTCTGACAGCTGTGATTAATAAAAACAATTGTCGTGGCTTTTATGTTTCAAAGCCACCTATGCGTTATAGACTTATTTTGCATTGAAATGAAAATAGGTTGATATGCTGTAATTGCAACATGTGTTATTTTTATGCTCCAAATTTGATTAGGGAGTGATAAAGTTGGTGTTTTCTACTATATATTATCAAAATATTCATTGTTAATATTTTAAACCTATAACACCCTGCTACATTTTTATTATTTATGTTTGATAAGAAAAAAACTAAGATTTCAATAGTTGGGCCAACTGAAGTGGGAAGGGGCTCGTAGATGGTCTATAGACATCCTTTGTCTCGTCTAGCGTCTATACGCTAATGTGACTTTTTCGGTCTCATGTTCGTTTTCGCCATCAAATACATTATTTTGTGTGGAATGGCTGGGATATGTCTCGGGGTCCCTCAAATTGTCTTTTTACTTACGAAGATCATTCAACAACTGTTTCTCCTCATTTTGAACCTCGCTGGATCTCGATTGCAGTTGCCTCACTTGTGTGATCTCTTTCACTATTTGAGGAATGTAAATTCTTTTAGTCAAATTTCTTCTGAAAGTAGTACAAACTAATCTGATATACCTATTAAGGTCTACTTTAAGCTTCAAATCAATAAATCTTCAAAACTACTGAACCGAAGCTCATGTATTTTACATCATTATAAAGGGAATTGAAAGACCTTTAAAATAAGGTATCACTCGACCCCCCTTTCCATTTAAGATTTTGGCGGTGGTGTCACCCCCGCTTAGGGGGCTGCGCGTGCTAACGTGATTTTTTGCCAAACTTGTGTCCCCCTCGAAAACAAAATCGACGGGTCTGAGCGTTTTTCCAAAAAAAAAACTGAGCTGCCAGTAAATGCGTCTGTTTCGTTTTCGATGCGCCACCCTGTATATATTTGGAATATCGTAGCGTATTTGATCAATTACTCACAAATGTGTGATCTCTTTCACTATTTGAGGGATGTCATAGCGAGTGTTGATCACCGAGCTCTCAGAAATGGTTTCAGATTGAATCTGTTTTATATAGTCGAAGAGGAGTGATAGGTATTGCCTTTCAGATAGCAGTTTTAAGAGTGGCCTTTCTGTACGATTTCCTACAATTTTCATTTGAAACATGTGAGTAACCGTTTACGTACTACAGCGCTTAACAGCAATCCACATCCTGATTTCAGAGCTTCAGAGACACAAGCAAGGTGTACAAAGCTTTGTTTCCATAGCCAACTCATAATTTCTGAAAATGGCCAGAAGATGTTCCCATCGTGAATTTGAAGAAAGAATCGAAGTCAAGCCCTCGGTAGAACTGATTCCAGACGAATTTGAGCACCATACTGAAGATGGCAGCGATATCGTGATACACGCTTTTATCGACGATACAGAGGATGACCTTAAGAATGCCCAACAGTTTTTCGATTCTCTAAAAAGCATTGGATATTCGGATCTCAATCGGCATATACACAATTTGGAGAGAAACGATTTTCTTACGGTTATAAAGTACAGTAAGTATGTAAATATGTTTTCTGAAAAAAGGTCTACCCTTCCTCCGCAGTCTTGGAAACAGAGACAAAAGGTTCATCAGATATTCAGTGCATCTTAGCGCAAAATGTTTTATTTATACTGTGTAGCAAAAACATGTGTACTGACCATGGGCGCCCGCAGAAAATAGTTCACTTGCTGCCCATCGTCGGTAGTAGCATCAAATTGATGGATTCGGAGTCTAAGGTATAGGCGATATACAGGGTGTCCAGAAATTGAAGGTTTATCCCTCAGTTGCAAACAGATCACATCACAAAATGTTGTTTTAGGAAAAATCATATTTTGGGGATTTTTATACAGGGTGTCCCAGAAGTCGACGTCAAGCCGAAACAGCTATCAGAAAAATATTTAAAAAATCATCATCAGCAGCATTTTGACGCCCACTGTTGTGCAAACAGTTATCCTTAAGGGTCCTTGTGCGTTTTCATAATCGCTGTTTAATTAGGAAATTTTCAAGAATTTTCATCAGTTTTTTTTCAAATAAAAATTGTGCATAAGTTAACGAGTAATCTTCTAAGTGATATACCATTTTGGAATCGTTATCAAATGCGCCAACTTTTAAGGTTACTTGCCAAACGCTCGTAGTACATTTTTTTCCAGCATGCTTAGTTCTGAATGTCCCAAAGCACACCTAATTCAAGCCTTTTTTCAAAAAAAAATATACAGGGTGTCCCAGAAGTCGACGTCAAGCCGAAACCGGGTGATAGGCAAAGTAATAACAGCTATCAGAAAAATATTTAAAAAAATTTTATGTATGTGTTTTGAAAATTATAGGTCTTTGAAAAAAATATTTCACACCCTACGGCAGTCTGTCAACTCCTGTTACTACAAATATTAACTTTTTTTGGATTTTATTTTTACAATGTAATGATGAATAATGCATCTTCAAACTGGTGTCTCAACCTTACTGCCAACTTTTCTCGTTCAGGAAAAATTGCCACTTATTTCCCAACCAAGTATTCCAAAGTAAAACTTTGTTCAACTTTAACTGGCTGTTGGGTGTGCTGGAAAAAAAATGTACTACGAGAGTTTGGCAAGTAACCTTAAAAGTTGGCGCATTTAATAAGGATTCCAAAATGGTATAACACTTAGAAGATTACTCGTTAACTTATGCACAATTTTTATTTGAAGAAAAACTGATGAAAATTTTTCAAAATTTCTCAATTAAACAGCGATTATGAAAACGCACAAGGACCCTTAAGGATAACTGTTTGCACAACAGTGGGCGTCAAAATGCTGCTGACGATGATTTACCTTTACAGCTAATGCTCAAACTGCTTTCCTTCAGCCGCAATACACGCTCGACATCTTCTTAAAAAAGCGAATCCACGGTTATTAACAAACTCAGCTGCTTCCAATAGTCTTTGCCATAGCTCAGCTACATTTTGAATCGACACTTTTTTTTTTACAGTTCCCCAGTAAAAAAAATCTAACGGATTCAAATCTGGTGACCGGGCTGGCCACGGTATTGTACCAGACCGCCCTATCCATCTGCCTGGAAAGTTTTGATCGAGATACTCTCTCACTGAGAGTGCATAGTGCGCTGGTCAGCCATCATGCTGAAACCACATGCCCCTGTAAATACTCAGTGGCACGTCCTCCAATAAATTTTCTAAATGATTTTGCAAAAAACCTAAATAAACCTCAGCAGTTAAAATCTCTGGGAACTCAAATGGACCGATTATTTTACCATTTAAAATTCCTGTCCAATGGTTTATCTTGAAGCGATATTGAGATTTATCTTCTCTCATCAAATGTGGGTTTGCTACGTACCACTCGTGTAACTTATGCAGGTTCATGTACCCATCTTTCTTAAATGTGGTCTCATCTGACCATAAAATTTTTTCAAAGAACCGTGGATCTTCCCTGTGTCTTTCTAACATTGTGCGACAAAAAGCAACTCGGGGCTCATAATCCCGGGGCAGAAGAGCTTGAACACGCTGTACGTAGTATGGATGGAGCACGTTTTTTTGCAAGATTCTATGGGCTGTACTTTTGGGCACACCTGTTTTTAGTTCTATTGCACGCACTGAAGTACTCGGGTCTTCTTCGACAGCTCCTAGCACCACGTCTTCGTAAGGAAGGAAAGATCTTCCCTCACCGTGTGATTGGCTTGGTAGTTAGCCCTCTGAGAACAGTAAGCGGTGCACATTTGTGAACACTCGATGATCTGGATGACGAGCTGCATTCGGGTACCTCTCACAGTAAAGTCTCGCTGCAGCACTAGCGTTGCATCTGCATTCCTCATAAATGAGGCGCATGTTAGCATATTCTTGTATGATGTACACGGACATAGCGGCACTGCACAATCACACTATCAAAGATAGTCTAAGGAAAGCAAATGTTGTTTTGAAGAGCAATTAAACAGTCCAAATCCAAATCACAAGCGATCAACAGTCCAGTTCACGAATCCAAAATTAGTAACAGTACGAAATCAACAAGCACGAACATGTAAAGATGCACAGTAAACGAAGGAGTACTGATCGGTATCAAAGTGTGCAATAGCAAGTAAGTGATGCGCTTCATCCAAACCACATACAGCGTGTTCAACCTCTCCTGCCCCGGGATTATGCGCCCCGAGTTGCTTTTTGTCGCACAATGTTAGAAAGACACAGGAAAGATCCACAGTTCTTTGAAAAAATTTTATGGTCGGATGAGACCACATTTAAGAAAGATGGGTACATGAACCTGCATAACTTACACGAGTGGCACGTAGCAAACCCACATTTGATGAGAGAAGATAAATCTCAATATTGCTTCAAGATAAACCATTGGACAGGCATTTTAAATGGTAAAATAATCGGTCCGTTTGAGTTCCCAGAGACTTTGACTGCTGAAGTTTATTTGGATTTTTTTAAAAATCATGTACAAAATTTATTGGTGGGCGTGCCACTGAGTACAGGGACATGTGGTTTCAGCATGATGGCTGCCCAGCGCACTATGCACTCTCAGTGAGAGAGTATCTCGATCAAAACTTTCCAGGCAGATGGATAAGGCGGTCTGGTACAATACCGTGGCCAGCCCGATCACCTGATTTGAATCCTTTAGATCTTTTTACTGGGGAACTGTAAAAGAAAAAGTGTATTTCAAGCCGATTCAAAATGTAGCTGAGCTACGCCAAAGACTATTGGAAGCAGCTGAGTTTGTTAATAACCGTGGATTCGCTCGTTTAATAACCCGATCTTTTTTAAGAAGATGTCGAGCGTATATTGCGGCTGAAGGAAAACAGTTTGAGCATTTGCTGTAAAGGTAAATCATCATCAGCAGCATTTTGATGCCCACTGTTGTGCAAACAGTTATCCTTAAGGGTCCTTGTGCGTTTTCATAATCGCTGTTTAATTAGGAAATTTTGAAAAATTTTCATCAGTTTTTTTTCAAATAAAAATTGTGCATAAGTTAACGGGTAATCTTCTAAGTGTTATACCATTTTGGAATCGTTATTAAATGCGCCAACTTTTAAGGTTACTTGCCAAACTCTCGTAGTACATTTTTTTTCAGTACAGCCAGTTAAAGTTGAGCAAAGTTTTACTTTGGAATACTTGGTTGGGAAATAAGTGGCAATTTTTCCTGAACGAGAAAAGTTGGCTGTAAGGTTGAGACACCAGTTTGAAGATGCATTATTCATCATTACATTGTAAAAATAAAATCCAAAAAAAGTTAATATTTGTAGTAACAGGAGTTGACAGACTGCCGTAGGGTGTGAAATTTCTATATTTTTTTCAAAGACCTATAATTTTCAAAACACATACATCAAATTTTTTTAAATACTTTTCTGATAGCTGTTATGACTTTGCCTATCACCCGGTTTCGGCTTGACGTCGAATTCTGGGACAACCTGTATATTTTTTTTTTGAAAAAAGGCTTGAATCAGGTGTGCTTTGGGACATTCAGAACTAAGCATGCATTTCATCACCACCACTGCAATGGCTTAAAAACCATTTTTGTTATTTTTTTTCTGGAAGAAAGGGTAATATAAGAATAATACCAGAGGATGATACTGGGCATACATTTAACTGACAAAAAACAATTATCATACAGGTACAGGGTGCGTCATCTATTACCTTTTTTTCTATTTGAAAAATCAACACGCTTTTTACGAGGTGAAGTCGAATTTTTTTATTGATAAATGAAAGTTGGTTTATGCCATTTATGTATGAAAAATAACTTCAGTCATGTGACCACTGCGGCTTCGTTTACAGGCCAATATCCAAACATCAAATTTTTCTATGACTTTTCCCAGAATAATCGGGTCTATGGCCGCAATTTCAGTCCGAATATTACGCTTTAAGTCTTGAATTGTACGGGGACCATTCGCATACACTTTTACTTTCAAACATTTCCAAAGAAAATAGTCAAGTGGTGTTAAATCGCACGATCTCGGGGGCTAACTGACATCTGAATTTAGTGAAATTATGCGGTCTTGAAATTTCGTGTGAGCCGATGCAATTGTGGCCACAAAAAGTCTGTTGACATGCCGCGATAACGTTCTCCGTTGACGGTAATGGCCTTTTCTTCGGCATATTCAAAGAAGAATGGTCCAACGATGCCACCAGCCCATAATCCGCACCAAACAGTCACTTTTTCAGGATGGAGAGGTTGTTTATGATGTTGGTGTGGATTTTCAGCCCCCCAGAATCTCAATTTTGCTTATTTACGTACCCATTGAGGTGAAAATGAGCCTCATCAGACAAGAGCACTTCGACCGAAAATCCGTCTTCTCTTTCCAGCATCCAATTAACAAAAACACGCCGCTGTTGATAGTCTGCCGGCCTCAATTCTTGTCTTAGTTGGATTTTGCGTGGATGGAGGTGTAGATCAATGTGTAAAATCTGGCGTAAAGTGGTCTCACTAATTCCAAATTGTTGCGAACGGTGCCTAGTCGAGGTGATCTTCTCGCACATTTTCACTCACTGCGGCTAAGTTTTCACGAGTACGAGCTGGACGAGCATGTTGGTATGGTCTACGACCTTCAGCTGAACCATTTCCCTCAAAACGATTAACAATCCAACGAATTCCAGGCTCTGTAGGGCGTCCATGTCGGCCAAAACTAGTGCGAAGTCTGCGAAAAGTATTTCGACCGTTTTCGTAAGTTTGGAAAACCAAACTGTGCTGCTGTGTTGTAAACGAATCCATGACTATAAATGGCATACCTTTGACAGTTGATTTATGCATACTACATGACTTTTGACTCACATGGTAACACATAAACTTATAGGTAAAAAAAAGTAATAGATGGCGCAGACAGTATATTCAAAACTGGCGGAAACGCAGTCATGTTCCTGAAGCTTATAGAATTTGAGACACGCAGTGTAGCTGCGGCAAATTTGATCAAAGAAAGAAAAAAAGTTTGTTGTTCATGTTTATATCTAAAGGAAGACCTAAAATATTTTAAAATCATGATTCCTTTTGTTGGCGAGTATTCGACTGAAAACGTTCAATTTTTGACAAAAAATAAGGAAACCAATTATTAGTAAATAATAATTGAAATAACTAAATTTATGAAAATAACGACAATTATTCGAGTTATGCTGCGTACCGTTTTCGAAAATTGTATTTCGCAGTGCTCAATAATTTCCTTCGATATTATTATTTTATTAACCTTTCTTTCACAAAAAACAATTTAATATCTAGGGCTTTTCGTGGTGTTACCCCCTTGAGATGGCGAGAAACTCACATAAATATCATATCAAAGTCTAAATTTTAATAGAAGCTCGCTCCTAAATCTGACTTGGACAGAATGAAGGAGGATCACTGTGCAAATTAGTCGAGTAGTATTATTGTTATTCGCATTTTGCCATTATTTGCTTTTAAATGCATTTATATTGAAAGAGGGTGACCCTTCGCAAATATCAAAAAACGACTTTATGGTTTGGAGACAAAAATGGGACAGAATTGATTTCGGAGCATGACCAAACTATAAAACTTTTACTAAAACAAAGTTTTGTCATACATTAGGTCATGACGTGGCCAACTTCAGTTGCAGGATTCTCTGGACATTCCATAAAATAGAAATCATAGCCATAACGCTACTTCCTTAGCTGTGTGACAGAAGCATTTCTAACTGCAGTTAAATATGTTTTTACTGATTTTCATGTCGATATCAGCATTCATTATTATAGCATACAGGGAAAAATGAATTTGCCTGACTGCTTGAGTTCTGCGCGAGAAGTGTGTATCAATACAGGTTAGGAAGAGATAGAAGTCGGCTGAAGAGCAAAGATCATTACCGAGCAACGGTTGCGCAGATTGCCGCGTCAGCATTGCAAGGCAACGCGGTGATGGGTTTCGCTAGCCAGGCTGCTTCTATCTTTTTCTAATATACAGTGCCTTTCTTTAAAAAAAATGAAACTTGAGGTAATGAAATTGATGCGTGGATACCATATTTTAGAGTAAAATTGACAGATGAAAATGTCAAGATGGCCGCTGGGCGCCATCTTGGAAACAAAATTAAATGAAAATGGGGGTGTTGTGGTACATCATTTTGAAGCTCCTGATGAGTACTTTATAACCCTAGAATATAAAGTCAATACCTTTACCTACTACAAAATGGTGGTACATTTAATAATTACCTGAATACATTGACATTTAACTTGATAATTCGAATAAATACGTTGAGTTCAGCTTAGCAGATCCTGGAAATGGTTGCCTTGAACTTCTTGACACAATAACAGCCGGTCCGTAATTTCGCGTCGAACATTTTCAAACATAGTAACATGATATTTCTACAAATATTTGTTATTCGTATATCCAATATTGAAGTAGGTTCAGTTTCGTACACCTTTTGCTTCAATTAGCCCCATAAAAAAAGTTTAAAGGGGTCAAATCTGGCGACCGAGCTGGCCATTCCACAGGACCTCGACGGCCTATCCAACGACCGGGGAACTAACTTGTCTGTAGAAGTGTGGTGGAGCATCATCTTGTTGGAATACAATATCATCAGTATCGAATTCATTAGGATTCGCTTCGACGATTTCGGTGATTAGAGGGTCAATAGTATTTTCCAGCATATCCAAATACAGTTTCCCGGTTAAAGTTTGTTCGATGAATAGAGGCCCCACAATATGATTTCTCAATATCCCAGCCCAAACGTTAATTTTTTGTGGATATTGAGTATGAGTTTCCCGGAAGACGTGAGGATTGGTGTCACTCCAATAATGAAAATTTTGTCGATGCACATTACCGTTGAGAAAAAATGTAGATTCATCACTAAAATAAATATTTTGGATATAGGCAGGATGCCGTGAAATGGTTTCCGTCATAGTCTTGCAGAATTCTGTTCTTCGATCACGTTCATCGACAGTGATGTACCATTTGAATTTTGTATGGGTGATACTTGTTCTTTTTCAAAAGTCTCCATACAGTGGAAGGACAAACCTCACATACGTTCGCGATGGAGGAAGTAGACTGTTGGGGATTTACTATGGTCTCACCAATTATTTGAACTTGCTTTTCTTCCGGGATGGTCGGATGACCTGGGGGCTTTTTGTTGTTTACACTACCAGTAGCTGTAAATTTAGATACAAGTTCCCTTAAATATTTTCTAAAGATAGGACGATTCGGGAAACGATCATTAAAATCCTTTCGGTTTCGTGAAAGTTACGCGTCGCACTATAAATAAAAGAATATTTTAACTGTTTGTTTTCGTACTTATTCGTATATTTTTGTCACTGCCAACAAAAAATAACAAAACAAGTTTTTATCGCTATTGCTGTGGATACGGCATGGAATTACAATTACACACATCATCAAAAATGTTGGACCTTCCGTCTAGAGGTACGTTATCTACATTCTGTTTGTGAACAAAAAATCTTTATATATTTAGCAAGCAAAAAACGCAAAAAAACGTTGATATAAACATATGTTTGGATTTTTATAGAAATAAGTCAGTTTAACGGTAGTGTTTGAGCAAAAAGTATTAAAATAAGATTTTATACTGTAACTTTTAAAATGCCGCGAGTTGAAATTTCTGTTTAATGTGATAGATCATGAATAGTAGCCCTCTTCCCAGCTGGATTTTCAAATCACCGAATAGCACTGGATTTGGATATCCCAAGAAGTTCGGTTATTCGAACAATTCAAAGATGCCAAGAAACTGGCTCAGTTGAAAATCGGCCACGCAGTGGACGTCCTCGAGTAACAGATGATAGGGAGAATCGTTATATTGCTCTATTTGCCCGAAGGAATAGATTATCAACAAGTACAGCTATCAGATCGCATATTCAACATACCTTTCGAAGAGTTATTTCCACTTCTACCATCAGAAGAAGATTGCGAATGGCAAGTTTGCGCCCTAAAATACCTTTAAGGGTTCCACGTCATACTCGTAGACAAATTGCTGCTCGTCTCCAGTGGGCTAGAGAACATCAGAAGTGGCTTTTACCACAGTGGCGAAATGTGGTATTTACAGATGAGGTTAGGTTTGGACTGGTGAGTGATGACCGCAGAATAAGAGTTTGGAGAGAACCAGGACATCAACAGCGACTAAATTTGGCCCGAGAAGTTGTCCCATATCAGGGCGGATCAATAATGTTTTGGGGAGGCATAATGCTTAACCACCGGAGTCCTTCAATTCAGATCCAGGGGACAATGACTGCAGAAATTCATGAAGAAAATGTCATACAACCCATTATTCAACCTTTGCGAAATGAATTCGGTAACAACTTCATTTTTATGGATGATAATGCAAGGCCACATAGAGCGAGAAGGGTCCAGCGGGCTCTAGAAAGGGGCCAAATAGTGAGATTGCCGTGGCCTGCGAACAGCCCAGACATGAACCCCATTGAAAACATTTGGGACACTCGAGCCGTACGGAATGAGCTGGCTGCAGCAGTAAATGAAGAGTGGAATCATTTACCCCAAGAAAACATTAACCACCGAATAATAGGAATACCAAGGCGTGTTAACGCACTGCTAAGATCTAGAAGATACCGAACTGGTTATTAATTATGTTTTATTTTTCTTTAGAATAATTATTTTTCTTTAATTTTGGTTTTTAAAAATAAAATTTTGGTACCTTACTTGTTTAACTTTCTTTTTCTTTTCATATTAATGAAATTAATTTAACTTTTTGTTAAATAAATATAGTAAAAATATCCCCAATTTAAAATATATCAAAGATTGAAATTAGAAGGCTATAGTTTCCCAGTAGGCCAGTGTGTCCAACACTTTTGATGATGTGTGTATTTCTAGAGATATGCATGTTATTGGGTTTGTGTTCAAGTAATTATTGGATGTACCACCATTTTGTAGTAGGTAAAGGTATTGACTTTATATTCTAGGGTTATAAAATACTCGTCAGGAGCTTGAGAAAGATGTGCCACAAGACCCCCGTTTTCATATAATTTTTGTTCTAGGATGGCGCCCAGCGACCATCTTGACATTTTCATCTGTCAATTTTACTCTAAAATACGGTATCCACGCATAAATTTCATTACCTCAAGTTTTAATTTTTTGAATTGATCCGTTCAAAATATCAAAGGAGAGGGGGACATTAAAGAAAAGCACTGTATCTCTACACAATTCTCTCTCGTACACACTGAACTGAAGCCGTTAGACAAATTTGGTTTTCAGTGTATATCTCTCCATTATAGGAAACTTATAAAAAATCTGTATGATGTTTTCAGTTCAAGACGAAGCAAATAACTCTAATACAAATGGTCTAATGCTATTTTTCTCCTGCTCTACAAAACTTGACGGAAAAATATATATCCGGTTTAAGGAAAAAGATATGCCGGTTGATATCCAACAAATATGGACTCAGTTCACTTGTAACTACTGCAAGGGATTGAGGAATAAACCAAAAATTTTCATATTTGAGGTAGGTATTCGTAGAATTCTAGTACAACATTCTGAGTACCAGAAGATTCGCACCTTTCAAGTTACAGTGGACCCCCGATAATCCGGCCCCTGTCTAATCCGGCGCCCCCTGTAATCCGACATGTCTTTGAATATTACATGCATACGTATTTGACAATCTTCGCTAATGTAGATCACGCAGGTTTGAACAGGATACAACTTGTACGCGCCACCGCTATCGTGCTCGACGCGTAAGCATTGTTTTACTTGTTTGAAATTGACTACTTGTGATAGCGGTATGGCCTAGCGTGCGTTCATTGTTTACTATTTATTCATTGTGTATTAAGTATAGTACCTAGTAATGTCATCACAAACACAGAAGCGAAAGCACAAAACATTGACAATTAAAGAAAAATGTGATATTTTAGACCGCTTAAATCGCAATTTATGACATTAAAAGAAACCATGAGATCAAGAAGTTCGTGTCAACTACTGACTGCGGGCCAGACAAGGACAGACACTCAAGAAAGCTGAACATCCAGAAGTGGAAGAAGCTTTGTACATGTGGTTTCTTCAGGAAAGAAATAGGCATGCACCAATTTCAGGACCCATGTTGGCCATGAAAGCTAAGTTTTTTTATAAGGAAATAAAAAAAAGGTGAACGATTCAAATCTTGATCCGTCACAGCTGTACAATGCAGAAGAATCATTGCTTTTTTGGCGTGTGATCCCTAACAAAACTTTCGTTTCTTGTAACGAAAAATCCGTACCTGGACGAAAAGTAAGTAAAGAGCGTGTAACCATACTACCATGTGCTAACGCTGCGGGCACACAGGCGCTTAAGATGATGGTCATTGGGAAATCTAATAAACCACGGGCATTCAAAAACATTGATTTACCTTACTTGTACACTATTACGGACAAAAAAGTGCATGGATGACAAAAGACCTTTGCAAAAAGTGGTTTGATGAATGCTTCGTACCTGAAGTTAGAAAATGGTTAAAAGATCATAATTTTCCTCAAAAAGCGTTGTTGCTTCTTGATAACGCTCCCGGTCATTCGTTGAAGAAGAACTAACAACTGAGGATAAATGCATCACTGCGATGTTTCTTCCGCCAAATTGCACTGCACTGATTCAACCAATGGACCAGAATATCATTCAATTTGTCAAGCAAGACTATAAGAAAGAGAGCCGTAGCAAAAGACCAACCAATAGAAAAAACTTTAAAAGAATTTAATATTAAAGACTTGGTTTTTGCTCTTTGTCAGTCGTGGAATGCGTTACCGTCATCAACTATTAAATCATCTTGGAAAAAGTTATGGCCAGATATAGTCACCACTCCTAGCAACGTTCCACAAATCAGTGTAACTTCAGAAGTTATAGAACAAGTCGCTACAGAAACACAGATAAGTCCGGAAGATTTGGAAATCTGGTGCAGTGGAATGGATAAAGAGGAAAATGTTTTTCATGTAATGTCTGACGAAGAGATTATAAAAGAGGTTTCTAATTATACAACAAACAATCATTAAAATAACGACGATGTGATTGCAACTGCTCCACAAGTCACAGCACAAGACGCAATTAACGCCTTTGAGCTAGGTTTACAATGGGCTGAAGAGAATGGTACATCCTACAACGAACTTTTACTTTTGAGAAGACTGAGGGACAAAGCTCTGATTTCGCGTTATAACAACCTTAAACAAAAAAAAAATTGATGAATATTTCCAAGCTTCATAATTTGATAAATTTATTAATGATTTTGATTAATAATTCTTGATTATTTTGGTACATATATATGTGCATTTATGCTTAATTTTATAATAAAACGTAAGTTCTCTATTGTTATTTAATTTACTAAATTCGACATACATAAACTATGTATGATTTGTACAAACATATACATAACATATATAATCTTACCATTGGATATGTAATTTGTCGGATTACAAGGTACTATTTTGTAAAAAATTCCGGACTGTAGGGGGTCTTAGGCAGTGCTCTATAATCCGACACTGCCCTGCATAATGTTTGTCGGATTACCGGAGGTCCACTGTATCTTCTAATTCTATTATAAAATTTTCGACTCCTAGTTGACCACTCCTACAGCCCGCGCATTTCCTTTTTGCTCTTTCCGCCTTTATTCCAGCAAATTTCCATAGAGAAGGGAACCCTTTCAATCGACGGCACTTGGGCGTTGGGGGGGGGGGGGGCGTTAATGGTGGAGTTGGAAGCAAATACCTTGGCAAGCATTTCCGCCTTTGCCTTTGAGACGGTTACGATCGTTCCATCCTGACACGTAAGTGTTGAAAGGCTACTCTGTGAGAAGTTCCCTTCAATCTGCGACATTACCCTGTTCCTAACTTTTGTATCGTTTTGGCATTGCGAACAGCTTCGTTATATTTGTATCTGGACTGGAACATCGGCTTGTCTGTTCTCTACAGTGGGGCTTTGTAAAAAGGTTCTGTGTGCCTTTATCTTCTGCTGGCGAGCAGTGTCACGCGATTTGTTGAATCAGCCTTTGAACCCTGTTTTAGGCACTTTCACTGTATGAGGGATGTATTCATCCATCCCGACGTAGATAATTTCGGGTATCGAAGAACAGGCAGCCGACGCATCCGCAACAGTGAAACAAACATCTCTCCAAGGAAAGGTAGAGAAGAAGTCTCTGAGCCCGTCCCAGTTGGCTATGTCCGCATTATGCGACGTGTGCGAGTTTCTGCTGCCACAGCGGGTTCTGACCGAAACCTAACCTCCACAACACCGTGGTCTGAGCTACCCAGAGGGGACAGGACAGCAGTGCTGTAAGGGTCAGGATGCGTGATCAGCAAGAGATCCAACAGGCTACTTTCATGTGACGAGACGCGGGGGAAACAGTAGAGCTATAAAGCGATAAAGGCAGCAAGTAAATTTGGTGGATGTTTGTTCTCTGGAGCAGGACAGACTGCTGCGGACAAAAGCAACAACTTCCCCGTTCTTTCTCAGTGTGATATGCACCTCGTAATTTGGGAAGCTAAGATGGTTAGTCGGTGCAGCCTCTGAGATTTTTGTCTCCGCCAAGAAAAGCATGACGGCACGATCGGATTGCAAGTAGTGATGAACAGCATCAATCTGTTAATCCCGCAGATGTTCGTGAAACAGATTTTATCTTCAATGTTGTTCCCTCGAGTCCACCCTCCACCCGGGCATTCCGAGAGTGGAGTTAGTTTTTGTCCGGAATTCTTAGTACTCAGGGGATCCATCATCATTAATCTCTTTGTTGGGACAAGATAACCGACTACGTAGCTTAGGTGTGGAAACATGCTGACATTTATAAGACAACCTGGAAAATATAGTGGGTGGTACCGCCTCGGTCGACTGGTCCTTGTCTACCCTCTTCTTGTTTGTGTTAATGATGTTAAATAGACATCCAGTGGCCGGTATTCCGTGGTTTTCATGTCGATAATCCCTCATGTTTGTCTGGTTAATGCAACCGCATTTATTTGAAATTTTTTCGGTGAAAACGGTGACCTTCTTTCAGTACTTGACATTTTTGACAATATTTTAATTATAATTTAAAAAGTGTCATGTACAGAACAAGGTTACTGTTGTGACCGAAGTATCCTACATTAAATAAGAGTTTCATATACAGGGTGTCCCGGAAAAAGTGTGCAATATTCTACCAGCGGTTTCTAGAGCTTAAAATAGGAAGAAAAGTTTATATAAACATAGGTCGACAAACGTCCCCTAAGGACGCTACCGTCTTTTAAAGGGGCTCCCCTGAAGATGGTTTTTCCTTAATATTTCCGAAACGTGTTGAGATAAAGACATAAAATTTGGTATTCTAGCCTAGTTTTTTATTCTGGATTCAAAAATATTAACAATTTTAGACAGTTTTGTTTGGAAGCGTATGTAACAGGGACGGACTCAGGTCATTTTAGCCCCAAAATTTTTGTGTGATTCTATTTTTGAAATTCAATTTTAGAATTTGAAAATCTAGGGTTTTCTACATAAAAAGGGTACTCTTATTGAATATCGATAAATTGTGCCATTTTTGAATAAAATCAAACTAAAGAATTTTTCACATGATAGGAAATGTACTGCGAATTTAAATGAATTGTTGATTATACATAGTTAGCCATGACTGCAAACAAAAGTTGTTTTGATTTGTTATGACTTATTTTGACGTTAAGCTGACATTGTTAGCAGTCTAAAATTACTAGATTAAAATCAAAATTTTTATTAAATCAATTTGAAATGTCAAGATTTACAGACAGAGAACTGACTGACATGCATTTTGTGTACGGGTTTTGCAATGGCACTTCATTGGCAGCCGTAAGAGAATATCAAAGAAGATTTCCCAATCGCAGAGTAGCTGAACGTCGAATCTTTACTGATATTCACAGGAATTTGTCAAACCATGGAAGTTTTCAGCGCATGCAGGGCTCTGGAAGGCCACTGGGAAATCATCGTAGGATATTGCTTTAAATATGTTTGAAAATAATCCGCAAATAAGCATACGAAATGTTTCAGAAATTATGGATATATCTCGATCAATAGTAAGAAAAATATATGAATACCTATTTGATAGTTATCCTAAAAATAATAATTTTAGATAGGAAGAATGACAATAATGCAAGGATTACATCCTTATCATTTCAAACGGGTGCAGCATTTAACGGAGACTGGTTTTTTACCACGAAGCTAGTTTTAAGTATATCCAACTGTATGTCTGCTTTTTTAAACAAATTTCAATTTCGTTTGTAGAAAAAATTTCTTTTGTTTTTGCCTAAATGTTAGCTATGTTGCAATAGAAATATGTATTTATGTAATATTTACCAATTATTAAATTAGTTTTTTCGTTGCCATGGCAAATTATTCAACAATTCATTCAAATTCGCAGTACATTTCCTATCATGTGACAAATTTTTCAGTTTGATTTTATTCAAAAATGGCACAATTTATCGATGTTCAATAAGAGTACCTTTTTTATGTAGAAAATCCTAAATTTTCAAATTCTAAAATTGAATTTCAAAAATAGAATCACACAAAAATTTTGGGGCTAAAATAACGTGAATCCGTCCCTGTTACATACGCTTCCAAACAAAACTGTCTAAAATTGTTAATATATTTAAATCCAGCATAAAAAACTAGGCTAGAATACCAAATTTTATGACTTTATCTCAACACGTTTCGGAAATTTTAAGGAAAAACCATCTTCACGGGAGCCCATTTAAAAGACCGCAGCGCCCTTAGGGGACGTTTGTCGACCTATGTTTATATAAACTTTTCTTCCTATTTTAGGCTCTACAAACCGCTGGTATAATATTGCACACTTTTTTCGGGACACCATATGCGGTTTCATTAACCAAACATGGGGGATTATTGGAATATTTTGTTTTGTATCTTTTTAGATCAGAATGATACATGAAGTGGCATTCGAGTCGACTCAGTTCAGAGCTCCGACGTATTCTCTTACCTATGACACCCCCCCTGAAGCTGACATACTGGTTATTTACAATAAAACAACAGGTATGTACTTCCAGGTTTGAATTGACAACTGGCCATATTTATTACTCAAGTACCACAATGCAAGAGAGCAGCGTGACACATTGTACGCCACTCTTAAGTCCGAGTATCTGAATATACAGGGTAGAGATTCACGAATTGACTTGATTTTCAAGCTGCTTGACTTGTCTTGACCTGAAATCAAGTCAGGCTGAAGTCGAGTATTAGATATTAATAATCTGATATCAAGTCAAATAGGTTTTACGTCAAGCAGTCTTTTGAACGTCTTAATTTGAAAAAAACTGTCAACATGTTTGCTCTCGCTAACTTCTATGATCTTACAAAAGCATTTGATTGTGTCCAACATCACATTTTGACTCAAAAGTTGTCGCTATATGGTTTTACTAATAACAGCTTGTCCTTAATTGGGTCTTATTTATCAGACAGAAGACAGTATGTTAGTTTTGAAAATTGTTTATCTAACAATGTACATATTAAGCATGGAGTTCCACAAGGAAGTGTCTTGGGACCGATTCTTTTTTTGATTTACATCAATGATCTGCCAAACTGTAGCATCAATCAATATATACTAAGTGACATATAAATCCGAACACCCAGTTTAAATGGTTTTATTTTAATAAAATTTTGTATAAGTACTTAATGAAGCATAATAAGTAAATGATAAAAATTTCAAAATGATTGCACTGCTTTAAAGCCCTTTGACCTTTAATAATGTGTGGATGCACCCTGATGTGACGCATTCTCCAACGCACCTAGGCATGCTTCTGATCATCTGGTCAATGTCCACCTGTGGTATCTCATTCCAGGCAACCACCAACTCCCCTCGAAGTGCTTCTAGAGTCTGAGGAAGACGTTGCAAATTGAGCAATCTCCTACCCATCATATCCCATACGTGCTCAATTGGGGATAAGTCGGGAGATCTTGGTGGCCATGGTAACAATGTGACATCATTATGTTGAAAGAAGTCTATTGTGACTCTTGCAACATGTGGTCGGGCATTATCTTGTTGGAAAGTTGGATCTGCCAGGGTGTCAAGATGGGGTTCTAGAACTTCGTGGATATAACGCTGCGCGTTCATGTTACCTCTGATGAAGATTAAAGGTGACCTGGAACCATAAGCTTTAGCACCCCAAACCATAACGCCAACAGTGTGATGAACATGTCTTTCAACAAAAAACTGTGGATTCCTCCTTTCACCACGTCGCCTTCTAACCCTGGCACGACCATCGTGCATGCCTAAACAAAATCGAGACTCGTCACTAAATACTGTTCCATTCCTGATCCCAGAGTGACAGTTGTCTGCACCACTCAAGGCGATTACGTCGGTGTTCTCGAGTTAAAGGGAGGACCTAGTGTGGCCGGTATGAAAACAAGCCAAAACTTCTCATTCGTCGGTAAACACTTCGCATGCCAATAGGTCTTCCGTGTTCTGCAAACCATTCATTTGCAATGGACCTGGTAGTGGAGAAACGGTCCCTTAAGGCCAATGATCTTAGGCGGCGATCTTCACGGTCTGTTGTTCTATGGCGGCGTCCAGTGTCCCTTGCTCTTTGCGTACGGCCTTCTCGAAGCCATGCCTGACAACACCTAACCACAGTGTCTACACTTCTTTGCACTCTAACTGGAATTGCCCGAAAAGAAAGTCCAGCTTCCCGAAGTCCCACTATACGGCCCCTATCAAACTCACTAAGTTGACGAAATCGTACAGGTCTCCGTACTCTAGGCATCGTAACCGATCGTAAAGGATGTCAAGAACCAAAATCCGCCAACGTTGATTCTTTATTGCGGCTGAAATATTCATTTTTAGAGCGTTAGTGAATTAAAAAAAAGCAGTATAAAAACCGGAATGCCCAACTTAGAAGGCTGAACATTTTTTCACTTGTTATTTACAGTAAGATAAATACATTCACCAACTTTTATTAAAATAAAACCATTTAAACTGGGTGTTCGGATTTATATGTCTCTTAGTATAGAGTTTTTAAATAATGATTTTACCGACTTTGTTCCATAATTGTTGATTACTTGTTTTATTACTTTGTTTTCGTTTGTGTTTTTGTGTATGTGTTATTTTTGTATGACATTTTATTGTTCTCCAGACGTGTGTAAGGACTTATGATTACAAACATAAAAAAATTATTACTATTTCATAATTTTTTAACCATCTTATTTTATTGTTCATCTAAATTTTAAACTAGGTTTTATCAAGTTTTTTTATCTTTTATTGCCACTTTGTGTTTTACGTTTGTCTTGTTTTCGTATTGTTTATTGTGTTTACTTACTCTTTTATGTTCTACTCTAACTGACCTTGCAAACACATTTTTGTGTAATACTACCAACAAATTATTATCATTATTATTTTTTCACACGTTTTTGTCAACCTGTCTCATACAGTAATCTTGATAGCTGCTGAACGGTTATTGCTGAAATTCTAGCCATACCAGGATACCTTTTCCATTTTCTACTAATTCTATCGAAATATTTTTCAATTTCAGATGAGACTCACGGCAAGCTCATGAACAAACTAGGCAAGCACATGAGAAAGTACGGACAGCGGGAGGACATCATTACTCTGGTCTCCTGCATTCCTTCCAATAATTTTCGACCAATGATCATCTCAACGTTGACCAAGAAGTTCTATTTCACGCCAAGCGAATATCGAGGACATCATTACAATTTGTACGAAATAGAGAAAGAGTTGACGTATATCTTGCAGCAAATGAAAGTTTCAGTTGGTATGTTACCCAGCGGCTTTCCTTTCTTTCGCATTTGGTTCTCTTTCCCAATCCCGCAGAGGTAATACTTAACTTGAAAAGTGACATTTTTCATACCGTCCACGGTTAGTGCTTTCTCTGACTGCGGACCATTGTCGTCAACGCTTCAACTGGCGCAAGATGGTCGTAGAAGGGTAAGACGCCGCTGTAGAAATATTTATTTCTGGGTGCAACACTTCTAATGTCACTGATTATATACAGGGTGTTTCAGTTTATTATTGCATAAGTTTAAGATTCGATAGAACTTTTAAAATTAATGCATAAAGTCTATATAAACATGGGTCGAAAAATGCGTGGCTTCCGAAATACAGGGTGTTTAAATTTACTTTCTAACATAGTTTTTTTTAAATATTTCGAACAATATTTGATGTATAACAGTGAAAATTGGTATACAATGGTTTTTTGGTACGACAAAACGAACCATGGGCATAGTTTTACTGTAGCCGCTAGAGGGCGCTCTCTACTGTACCTGTAGTGTATTAAAATGACCGAAAAAATTTTCATAGTGCAATATTTTGCTTTTTGAATAAAAAAACTGATTCTTCGCACTTTTCTGCATAAACAAGCTCGCGTGTGAGTTTTCGTTCTAGTTAGTCGTTTTTGAGATATTTCGATTTTTAAGGTTCGATGCATTTTTAATTATTTATGGGAAAATAATATTTTTTTACATTTTCGATTTGGGCATTACAAGTAATTAAGATGATCGTTTAGATTGTGTTTTTAAACACAGCAATAATTCCTAACTCCAAATAAACACAAAAAAAACAGAATATTAATTTGTTTAATTTTCCAATATTATTTTTAACAAATTAAATTAATTATTTACAACTAAAATGCTATTGGATAGTTAGGACAAACATACAAAATCTGAAGTAGTTGCTCGAAATGTAAACCCAATTGTTCAATACACAATTCACATCTACGAATGATTGAACGTGGTATAGCATTATTCAAATAAGTCCTTATTTCATCACATGCATTCCTGATTCTGTCTATTAGCATATCTCTTGTGGTTACGGGTACACTTTTTCTTTTAGAAATCCCCACACAAAGAAATCTAATGGATTTAGGTCAGGGGATCGTGGAGGCCAGGCGACTGGTCCTCCACGGCTGATTCATTTTTCTGGATAATTTTCGTCCAGCCAGTTTCTAACTATTCTCGAATAATGAGCTGGACAACCATCAAGCTGGAACCAGGCCAATCTTCTTAAATCTAACATAACATCATCCCACATATTTGCATGTTCAGCCTTTAAAAATTCCAAGAAGGTCGCAGCATTTAACCTTGCAGGCAAAAGGTAGGGTCCAAATAGTCGATTACGGTAGATACCAATCCACACGTTCATGCTGAAAATTTCTTTCCCGAACTGCATGCGGATTTTCATGCGACCAAATATGTTGATTATGAAAATTTACCACTCCACGTCTAGTGAAGCATGACTCATCGGTCCATAAAACGTTACTTAAAAACTCCCTATTATTATCAGTTCTATCAAGAATCCACTGACAAAATGTGATTCTTCGTTCTCCGTCCCCTGGCTGTAGTCCTAGCACAGGTTGCAAATGGTAAGGACGTCTATGGTCATTTCTAAGAACATGGTGAACATGGCTTGCTGAAATTCCCGTGGCACCAGAAACTCTCCTAACACTTGTGGTCGGATCTCTATCAAACTCACGCAGAATCATACGGGTAAATCTGCGCTGACGAACATTTATGTTTTGATCCCTTTGGAGATTTCCAAAACCATTTTCAATTATTTGGCGATGCACTCTTACAAATACTGAGCGAGTTGGATGTCGTCTGTTTGGAAATCTTGGTGCGTATTCTCTGGCTGCTTCTGCTACGTTTCCATTTACAAAGCCATACACAAAATGAATATCCGCTAACTCTTGATTGGAGAATAAAAATGGCATTTTTATAAAACTTACAAAAAAAAAAAACAGGTAAAAGAAACTAAATTTCGTTCATCCACAATTGCAAAAAAACGTTTCAGGTTTCAACAGACAAACAAAACTAATTGTCAACTAATTGACGTTCAACCTTATTCTGCTTTCAATTTCAAAAATATTTGCAAAAATAGCCTACTTCTAAAAATTATCGAGATACTGACTTTTTAATGTTATTTTATCATAAATAATTAAAAATGCATCGAACCTTAAAAATCGAAATATCTCAAAAACGGCTAACTATAACGAAAATTCACAAGAGAGCTTTTTTATGTTGAAAAGTGCGAAAAATCAGTTTTTTTATTCAAAAAGCAAAAAATTGCACTAAGAAAAATTTTTCGGTCATTTTAATACACTACAGGTACAGTAGAGAGCGCCCTCTAGCGGCTACAGTAATGGTTTGTTTTGTCGTACCAAAAAACCCTTGTATACCAATTTTCACTGTTATACATCAAATATTGTTCGAAATATTTAAAAAAAACTATTTTAGAAAATAAATTTAAACACCCTGTATTTCGGAAGCCACGCATTTTCGACCCATGTTTATATAGACTTTATGCATTAATTTTAAAAGTTCTATCGAATCTTAAAGTTATGCAACAATAAACTGAAACACCCTGTATAATAATAAACGATTTTTATTTCAGGCGAAGTTGAATTACAAGCTATACTACCTATACATCTGTTGTGTTTTTCCCATCAGCCCTTTGCAGTTGATACCCGAAACTCTTTAGAGCTTAAATACAAGTGCGAGCAATCTTCTGAGCTACATTTTGAATTCCAGATTCGGCTCAAGAAAAAGTGAAAGAAAAAAAGAAAATTAAGAAGAGGTTTTCTTTTCTATTTCGGCCAAATGGTAACTCTAACGATGAACAAGAAAAGGAATCAGAGGAAAGGCATTCAAGAGAGACAGAAACACGAGGATTGACACTTCCAGCTACACATGATTCTAATGACAACTTCAGATTCACATACAGCGGATGAATAAAAATCTATCCTATCAATGTATATATTACCTTATGCTTAGAAATATGTTGTACTTTGTATTGTGAATATAATGTTTCATCAAAATGAGGTGATTTTCATGATCCAGATTTACGAGGGCAATTTTCAAAGTAAGAACCGATTACGCATCGTGTTCGCGCATCCTGTTACGTGACTTCCGTTCAACCTCAGACACTCTTGGCCAGTCTATCACTACGCCACTGTTGCCAGGTCTGGTGAAAATTCTCCAGATCTGGTGATTGGTGAAACACTTTTTGAAAAATGGCTTTTCTGGTGATTTTTAAATTTTAATCGTTTTGAATATCTTTAACACGCAGTTATTTCATAAAGGAAAGTCCCTACTTTCTGAAAATCCTGTATACTGAAAGATGGTAAAGTCAGGCTATAAAGAAAATTGATGAAATACCTTATATCTCGGCTAGCAGAGTCTGATAACCTAGCAACAATAGGTTATTTATAATCCCCTCAGTGGCTTCTCTGTTAACTGTTAAATCAACACTCTCACTAAATACCCTGTATACAATCAGTTTCTCTGACCCTTGACCCCAATGGAGTTATCAGAGCTTTGATATGACAAAATGAGTGAAAAAGCAGTGTCCCATATTTACTAGACTATAAACTATATCTGTATAGATAAATATGATGTTAATGACAAACAAAATTATACATTCATATTTAATGGCAACTATTTTGGATTATAAAAGGTCGTGAGCGATAATAACGTCAACTTTGATAAGGATTACAACAGAAACAATATCACGCTGGGGGCCCCGTTGTTGTGCTAGTTTGTGATGTGTCGAAAAATAAACTGCGTTAACTTGTGAATATAAAATGCTACGACATCTTTATATTTCTTTATTGAAACCGTAAGTAAAATCTATTATACCTTGATTGGATGGTATTAATCATATTTATAATTCAGAAAATACGATTAACAATAAAACGGATGGCTCCGAAAATCCTCGTTTTATGAGATAGTGTGTTGAATTTAAGATTTTGAAATCGACAAAAAAATTAACAGTAATTCTCAGAAAGATCCCCATCCTTATTTTTTGGAAGGGCAAATTTGGAGGCTGAAATTCGAGGTGATGAAATTGACGCATTTATACTATATTTAATGGCGGACTTGCAGGGTGCCAACGCTTAGCGTTTTTTCAACAATTAATAATAAAAACGTACGTATCGTACGTCATATCAATCTTCTTATTTTGGAAGGGTCTTTCTGAATGTGCAGTAAAATATGAGAGATTCCTATGTAGCTCCTGAATCTTATCCTATAAACCACATAGGTATGAGGTACTATTCCCTGATGATGTTTTGGCCACAACGGTAGCCTTTTTCAAGTACAATAGGCTAGTTGAAAATGTTCTAAAGAAGGTCCTAAGTAGTTAATATTTGTTCTATTGGATCAAAAAATTACTAGTACTATATTTTTTCACAACTAAAAGACCATCAATCTTCAATTTAAATACAGGGTGGCCCATCCATGTGTGAACGGAATATTACTCATAAACAAATACATTTTGGGAAAATCTATTTATGGAATGTCATACATGATATTTGAGTGCACATTTATAAAATAATATTCATTATTCAGGGTATCCCAATTTCGACCTACATATCAAAGTTGTGATTTTTTAAATGGAATGCCTCAAATTTTATTATATATTTGGATAGACCAATTCAAAAGAAGAAAATTGATATAACATACTATGGGGTTTTGGTAATTAGCTAATGAGATATAAGGTGTTTTGTCTAGAAAAACCCCCCACTTCGGCAACCTCTCAGTCCACCATTTTGAAATTTGGAGTGATGAATTTTGTATTAAAAAAACTTACACACCTAAGCTTTTATCTTATTTGATACTTTTTCGAATTTTAATTTTTGCTCATACGCTCAAAAACGCAAATTGTAGTTTTTCTCAAAAATTTTAAATGCACACACTGTATATTTATGCAAGTTTGTATTCAATTTTTTATAAGCTTTTTTTTGATACTAGACACATAAGGGTTTTTACGGCTATTTTTTCGGTTAGTAGCACGTCTTTTATGGAACGGCCTAATTCCCTAAAATATCGCATCATCCTTGGAAACAAATAAATTGTTGATTAGTTTCAAACTGGCAAAATTAGCTTTGTGAGCATTATAATAAAAATAAACAAAATTCAGCACTCTAAATTTCAAAATGGCGGATTGAGGGGTTGCCGAAGTGGACGGTTTTTCTGGACAAAACACCTTACATCTTAGTAGCTAATTACCAAAACCCCATAATATGTTATATGAATCTTCTTCCTTTGAACTGGTTTATCCAAATGTGCAATAAAATTTGAGGCATTCCATTTAAAAAATCGCAACTTTGATATGTAGGTCAAAATTGGGACACCCTGTAATTGCCAATATTTTAGAAATATGCCCTAAAATGTCATGTATAACATGCCATGAATAGATTGTCCCAAAATGTATTTGTTGATAAGTAATATTCCGTCCACACATGGATGGGCCACCCTGTATATATATTTTTTAAGACGGGCGAAAACGCTGCCCGCCAAGTTTGGCCCATATATTAATGTGCTCCGATGTCATACCATTTGTAAACAGCTGATAGCACCATAACTTCTAAACATATAAATATTACTTCCTCAAGTTTACATGATAAAATTTGTAATTAGAGCCAATAGTGTTTTCACCCTTTCATATTAAAATCTAAAAGTATTTGAAATTATCATATCCATCTTGCGGTTTTAAAAATTGAAAGGATGTACTTTGTTCTCCTAATACTGTAGGAAATACTAATTAATTCTATGAAATTAGATATGAGTCAAGTGGCCTATTTGACAATTCTGACGGAGCAGAGCCGTAAATCAATGCATAATATGATAAGGACATGTTTCTTGCAGGGTTGTAGATGAAAATGTGGGCTTATCAAGAAGGTACAGAAGCTCCTTCAGAAGGATCGAGAAACTGCTCATAGCAAATAGAGGAGAAATAGCATGTAGAATAATAAGAAGCGCTAAACGGTTAGGTATAAGGACCGTAGCAGTTTACAGCGATGCTGATGCTAAAGCTCTGCATGTCTCTATGGTGAGTAATAGAGGATACTCTCTTCAAATTTTTGTTGGTTTGGCGGCGCCATGTCAATCAGTAAGTCCGCTTATTGTGAAGTAATTCGATTGTTAAACTGAAAAAAGATCTGTTCTGCTTCACGACAACGCTCGGCCTCATGCTGCGGCAAAAAGTTTCGTTAGAAATTACTGGTTTATCCACAATACCTTCCTGACTTAGCACCGTGAGACTTTCATCTTTTTCCCAACCATAAAGAATTTATAGGTGATACGAGGGATGTCTTTTATGTTTTGCATATGGAAATAAAACAACACGGTAGGTAGTTTTAAATGACTTTATTGTCCTCCACGAAGATTAATACACATCTGCATGTGCTCGAACCAATTTTCGAAGCACTTATTCCACTCGTTTGCTGGCAGGTCCAAAACGGCATTTTTGAATGCGTCAACTATTTCTTCTAGCGACTGGAACCTTTGACCACGCAGTCTGTTTTTAATTTTCGGCAAAGTAAATAAATCGTTAGGACTTAGATCGGGACTATATCGAGGATGGTCCAATAATTCCACGTTTTCTTCCGTTAAATATTGTCTTTTGGGCTGAGTGCGAGCTTGCATTGTCTTGGTGGAGGATGATTCTTCGTCTGGGGTTGATTTTTCGAAGCTCGATGATGACTTTTGGCAAACAAATGGTGGCATACCAATCCGCAGTAACTGTTCTTTGATCATTAAGAGGAATTGTTGCAATATGACCCGCTTTTGACACAAATGTCGCGACCATCTTTTTCAAAACACTTCGAGAATGGATGACTTTTGTTGGCTTTTCTTCACCTTGGAACACCCAAACAGCCGACTATCATTTATTTTCTGGTTCATAACAGTAAATCCACGATTCATCACCACTAACAAAGCTGTCAACAGGTGGGGTATCCAACGAGAAACTAATTTTCTTATTCCTAATTCTTCATGTAAAATTTTTTGAATTGAGGTCTTTGAGATCTTCAAGGACGCCTCAACCCCGTGATATATCACATGTCTATCTTCAACGATGAGTTTACGCACAGCATCGACGTTTTCCTGGGTGACTGCCGTTTTTGGTGCACCCACCCTGGAATCGTCGCTAAGACTCACCCGTCCACGTTTGAATTCTCCACACCAACGGGAAATTGTCGACTGATGTGGCGCTTCGTTGCCGAAAACAGACAGTAACTCAGCAAGGCATTCTTGTTGCGATAATTGTCTCTGAAAGTTGTAATAAATTATGGCGCGAAAATGTTTTCGGTTGAGTTCCATTTTTCTAATGACTTGGCGACATTTAAAAATTCACTGTAGTGAGAACACTGCACGTTTTGTTGTGAAACTTTGAATTTAAGTTTACTAAAGAGTGAGGTTAAGATTCAGTACTGACGTTCGATTCGCGCGGCCTACTATGTTTCTATATGCAAAACTTAAAAAACATCCCTCGTAAGTGCTTGGAGAATGATAACATGTCGCACGAAACAGGAATAATAATAATAATAATTTATTAGTGCTATTCTATAGAAATATATATTGCACAAGTCAGTTAAAGTATTAACATAAAAGAGTAAGTAAAAACAACAAACAATACGTAAATAAGAGAAATATGAAACACAAAGTGGCGATAAAAGGTAAAGGAGTAAATAAAACAAACATTAAAATTTAGATGAACAATAAATAGAGATGGTTAAAAAATGATGGTAGTTAAGGAAGTCTTCAATAGCAAAACAGCTTAGCTATAGTAGGAAGCATTTTATAGTTTTGCTAAATTGTTCAAGATCGAGAGATTTTATTTTATTTGACAATAGATTGTAGAGTTTCAATTCCTAATTTTGAAAAGACGATGAATGTTCTTTACAAATTCTTAAATGGTAACTATACTAAGTGACATATAAATCCGAACACCCAGTTTAAATGGTTTTATTTTAATAAAAGTTGATGAATGTATTTATCTTACTGTAAATAACAAGTGAAAAAATTTTCAGCCTTATCAGTTGGACATTCCGGTTTTTATACTGCTTTTTTTTAATTCACTGACGCTCTAAAAATGAATATTTCAGCCGCAGTAAAGAATCAACGTTGGCGGATTTTGGTTCTTGACATCCTTTACGATCGGTTACGATGCCTAGAGTACGGAGACCTGTACGATTTCGTCAACTTAGTGAGTTTGATAGGGGCCGTATAGTGGGACTTCGGGAAGCTGGACTTTCTTTTCGGGCAATTGCAGTTAGAGTGCAAAGAAGTGTAGACACTGTGGTTAGGTGTTGAGCAAGGAGCACTGGACGCCGTCGTAGAACAACAGACCGTGAAGATCGCCGCCTAAGATTATTGGCCTTAAGGGACCGTTTCTCCACTACCAGGTCCATTGCAAATGAATGGTTTGCAGAAGACGGAAGACCTATTGGCATGCGAAGTGTTTACCGACGAATGAGAAGTTTTGGCTTGTTTTCATACCGGCCACACTGGGTCCTCCCTTTAACTCGAGAACACCGACGTAATCGCCTTGAGTGGTGCAGACAACGGTCACTCTGGGATGGAACAGTATTGTCTTTAGTGACGAGTCTCGATTTTGTTTAGGCATGCACGATGGTCGTGCCAGGGTTAGAAGGCGACGTGGTGAAAGGAGGAATCCACAGTTTTTTGTTGAAAGACATGTTCATCACACTGTTGGAGTTATGGTTTGGGGTGCTATAGCTTATGGTTCCAGGACACCTTTAATCTTCATCAGAGGTAACATGAACGCGCAGCGTTATATCCACGAAGTTCTAGAACCCCATCTTTACCCTATCTTGACACCCTGGCAGATCCAACTTTCCAACAAGATAATGCCCGACCACATGTTGCAAGAGTCACAATAGACTTCTTTCAACATAATGATGTCACATTGTTACCATGGCCACCAAGATCTCCCGACTTATCCCCAATTGAGCACGTGTGGGATATGATGCGTAGGAGATTGCTCAATTTGCAACGTCCTCCTCAGACTCTAGAAGCACTTCGAGAGGAGTTGGTGGTTGCCTGGAATGAGATACCATAGGAGGACATTGACCACCTGATCAGAAACATGCCTAGGCGCGTTGGAGAATGCGTAGCACATCAGGGTGCTTCCACACATTATTAAAGGTCAAATTTACTTATTATGCTTCATTAAGTACTTATACAAAATTTTATTAAAATAAAACCATTTAAACTGGGTGTTCGGATTCATGTCACTTAGTATATATTGAAAAATGAAAAAATGTTCATATTTTAGTTTGTGACTCAATCTAAATTTACAAATAAAGTTTCTCTGACTCTATCACAAAACGGTTCTTACTTAAAAAATGACCTTCGTAAGAAGTGTATGTGGTTCTATGACCCTTCGAGGAACTGTAATCCTCAAGACTGTTACTTTGTGCTGAAAAAGATCCGGGGAATCTGAGGGCGAGCTCTTGTTTTTTCTTAAGATAGAAATATTTAGTAAAGTATACTTTTTATTATAGGCAGATGAAGCCTATAATATAGGACCACCATCGGCATCAGAGAGCTACCTCAGAGCCGACAAAATACTCGAAATCGCGCAAAAATCACGATGTCAAGCAATCCATCCAGGTTACGGATTTTTATCGGAGAACATAGAGTTTGCAGAACTTTGTCAAAAGAAAAATGTAATCTTTATCGGACCTCCTGCGAGTGCAATCAGAGACATGGGCATCAAGAGGTAACACATTTACTGGTAATGGAGTATTTTCCAAAATGTTTGTCTCGATGAAATATCAATATTTTGCGTAGTATATGAGACGCTAACCTTTTCAAGTATACAGAGCATCCCAATGTTCCGTAGTACCACGTATTTATAGACTCAAAATAAGTCGATTGGACATGATTTACTTCTCTGCGAAAGTGCTGCGTTTGTTTGTTAGAGGGTGACAAATTTTTATTTTCATCTATTACATTTTTTTCTATTTGAAAAATCAACACGCTTTTTACGAGCTGAAATCGAATTTTTTTATTGATAAATGAAGGTTGGTTTATGCCATTTATTTATGAAAAATAACATCAGTCATGTGACCACCGCGGCTTCGTTCGAACATCAAAATTTTCAATGACTTTTCCCAGAATAATCGGGTCTATGACCGCAATTTCAGTCCGAATATTGCGCTTTAGGTCTTGAATTGTCCGGGGACCATTCGCATACACTGTTCCTTTAAAAAATCCCCGAAGAAAATAGTCAAGAGGTGTTAAATCGCACGATCTCGGGGGCCAACTGACATCTGAATTTCGTGAAATTATATGATCTTGAAATTTCGTGTGCAATAAGGCGATTGTTTGGCGAGATGTGTGAGTCGTTGCTCCCTCTTGATGAAACCAAAGATCTTCGGCACCAATACGATTCAATTGTGGCCACAAAAAGTCTGTTAACATCTCGCGATAACGTTCCCGGTTGACGGTAATGGCCTTTTCTTCGGCATCTTCAAGGAAGAATGGTCCAACGATGCCACCAGCCCATAATCCGCTCCAAACAGTCACTTTTTCAGGATAAAGAGGTTGTTTATGATATTGGTGTGGATTTTTAGTACCCCAGAATCTGCAATTTTGCTTATTTACGTAGCCATTGAGGTGAAAATGAGCCTCATCAGAAAAGAGCACTTTGACCGAAAATCCGTCTTCTCTTTCCAGCATCCAATTAATAAAAACACGTCGCTGTTGATGGTCTGCCGGCTTCAATTCTTGTGTTAGTTGGATTTTGTATGGATGGAGATGTAAATCAATGTGTAAAAACCGTCGTAAAGTGGTCCCACTAATTCCCAATTAATGCGAAAGGTGCCTAGTCGAGGTGGTTGGATCTTCTCGCACAGTTTCACTCACTGCGGCTATGTTTTCACGAGTACGAGCTGGATGGTATGGTCTACGATCTTCAGCTGAACTCAGTTTCAATGTCGGCCAAAACTAGTGCGAAGTTTTTGAAAAGTATTTTTTATATTTCGACCGTTTTCGTAATAAGTTTGGATAACCAAAATGCGTTGTTGTATTGTAAACGAATCCATGACTATAAATGGCATACCTTGGACAGTCCATTTAGGCATACCACATGACTTTTGACTCACATGGTAACACACAAAGTTATAGGTAAAAAAAGTAATGGCGCACCCAGTACATTTGTTTAAAAATTTTTCAGATATCTTAGAGACCGATAGTCCGATTTGAATATTGGGACACTTTGTATAGTAAATAGAGAAACAGTTGTGATAAATTCTTCTATATGACGCTACGTTGTCTGATTTTATCTCGGATACTTTTTTGAACGCGGGAATATACAGGGTGTCCGCAAAGTTGGGGTTTTCCTTTACACGACGTGTAGATCTTGAAAACATAGCAATTTTTCTTAGTACCATATACACCAATGTCTTAAGGGAACCGAGATAAAGGGCTCTGCAACATCAAAAATATCTGAATACCGTCCTGTAGCCGCGACATCCCCGACTGGTACTAGGACACTAGCTCAACCCGACGACAGAACTGGGTCGGGGTCAGTGTGTCAGGTCAGTATGCAACCTTCAACCGACGGTTACGGTCACGCGTGTAGAGGTAATCGCGTAGACGAGAATCCCTCAACAAGCACTAGAGACGTGGCTAGAGAAGTGCAAGTATCAAAAACTAAAGTGTGGCAAACGCTGCGTGAAGAGGGCTGTATCCGTTTCACGTCCAACGTGTACAAGCCCTTCAACCTGACGATTTTCCAGCAAGAGTGCGGTTTTGTGAGTGGTTGTTGCATCAACATGACAATAATCCGGACTTTTTGAAGTACATATTGGTGACAGACGAATCTACGTTCACGCGTAATGGGGTGAATAACTTTCGCAACACTCATGTTTGGTCAGTAGAAAATCCGCACTCTGTCCGTCGGGCACATTTTCAACAAACATGTTCGGTGAATGTTTTAGCTGGCATGGTGAACGATATGCTCATTGGACCATTTATTCTCCCAAATCGATTGGACGGGATGCAATACCTAGACTTTTTACGCAACATTTTGCCTTCCTTGTTTGCCTGCGTCTGCTCGGTAGCGCATCAGCTGATTTCATTTTCTGTTGGAGCGGTATGATTTCGGGCAGAGACGTACTTAGCCTTTCTCGTCAACTGGAGAGTGAGTACTTTGCCTTTATTTTTTTTTACTTGGTCGCCCTCGTTTCACTACACATTACCTTTGGTATTTCAAGCGTAGTTGTTTCTGAAAAGGAAAACCCCAACTTTGCGGACACCCTGTACTTCTGTATTGGCAATATTCAGGTAGAGTGTACGTGTCAATGCTTCTAATGGAATTACTGATATCTGAGTTGGTAACATTACTGTGTCGTTGGAAATTGTATGCGAAGGTGGGAATACAGAATAGAGCTGGGATTCTTCTTAGTGAATTTTACTTGATTTCTATTTAAGCACTTCCAAAGCTATAATGTCCGATGCCGGAGTTCCAGTAATCGAAGGATACCATGGAGAAGACCAAAATGTTGATAAGTTGCTTCAAGAAGCACGAAGAATAGGTTTCCCTGTCATGATAAAAGCTGTTAGAGGAGGGGGTGGAAAGGGTAAGAAAGCCTATTGACAATAGCCGATTCTCACAACACGTCGCTTCCATTACGCAGAGATCAAAGGAGTGAATATTTTTGAAGTTGAAAAGTTCAAGATCTGGAACTTCAGATATCTAGAGCGTATACAGGGAGATAGAGGTAGTTGCCAGGAAAAGGTACGCCGTTACCAGTAGCCAGTGGCGACGTGTGACTTTTCCTAAACTGTTACCAAAACCAGATGTGAAAAATCTTATTAAAAAAAGTTTATTTTGAATATAATTTTTTTGATTATTTTAGGTATTTTATTTAAACTATTTTCAAATTAAGGTAAACATTCCTTGACTGAGCGTCTGGGGCATTTTATATACCTAATCGTCTTATACTATGACTAATCCAAGCCGTCCGAAAGAACAGTCGACGTTTCTAGATGTTAGGAAAATTTTTGATCTTTTTTGGCTATGAATGTTAACAATTCCCTGCAATTTCCTCTATTGTCAGAGTCATCCCCTTCAAAATGAACGGTAATTTCTGTTTTGCCAAAAAACAAAAAGCTTGGTTAAGACAACTTTCGATTCTTGTTTTGCCAAATTGAATTAAATTGGCTACACATCTAACATGTAACGGAGAAATTTCCTGTCTCCTCTTTAGAGCCCTAAAACTATTTAAATCGTTGACTCCGCTGCTCCATTTTTTTCTGTATAAAACAGAAGACATCGCCAACAATACAATCTGGTTTTGTGCAGCCACATACCAACTTAATTTAAAATATCAAAGTACGTTTTTTATACCTTTTTAAAATTATCTAAAGTAGGTGTTGGTCTTCCATTTTCAGTGATACCCTTTTTTTCTTGAAAATTATACAAGGAGAATGACTTTTCAAGTAGTTGATCGATTACGCAGCGACACTCATCCATGTTTATTTGCACGTACACTACAGCCGGTAACCAACAGTTGTAAAACAAAAGTGTAAGCCTCTTGCAGCCGCTATAGGACATTTGCGTCAGTGTAAGATTCAGTTTTTGTCAACTATGCAACTATTCTGTTACGTGATTCGACTTTATTGCAACCAAACTATCTCTTATGTATTGTATAGACGAAGTAAAGAATATATAACTAACAAATTACAGTCATCTTGTTTACTTACATATCGGCCATTGTGAATTTCATATACAGGTATATGATAAACTTCTACACTTTGATCTAGGGCTATTGAATTACTTGCGCAGCAAATTTTATTGTGTTTATCATGCAAATTAGTTACCCAATTTCTACGGGCATCGTATTTGATTCATATTTTGACAATGATCAAAAGTATGTCTAGATTTTTAAGATGGAAAACTGAACTCATCTGCGTTGAATCTTCCACAAATCCTATATTTAGACACAATTACACTAATGTTTATCAGTTTATATCTGTCATTTCGAACTGAAACATAATTATTTAATATTAAATAGAGGAATAAATGTTTGCCAAATATGGCGGGTGGTTGTGTACAATCAAGGCATCGTCCATGTTGTCTTTAGGTTATTAGAATATTTTTTGTTGTCTCAACCAGTATGCATGCGTTGTTTGTCTTAAAACATTGGTTATGGCATTTTAACAAAAATATGACAGCAGAAAGTTAGGTTATGGTGAAGTTGTTTACCAACATATCTAGCATAATATGTACAGCCTTTAACAGTTCCTAAACAACAGTTGTATAAGTGCTTCCGTTGGGAGCAATTTGTTGGCTAAGGTAGTAAATTGCACAGCAAAACAACAAGTTTTTAAATCTTAACCCTAGAGTACGGGACATTCGTAAAATTTACGATCGACAATATTCGTCGTGGGTTTTCGTTCATTTTTGGTTAGCGTATCGGAATTAGACTCTCGATACCTTCCTATTTAGTTTTCGGCTAGACTTCGGTGTACGTAACATCGTGTATTTGTCAAGCGTAACGGAGATTTTGCACTTCCGTCGTAAATTTTACGATAGTCCCGGTCACTGTTTGCTATTTTCGCGCAAGCTGATTTTTATTCTATTCTTTGAAAAGCGGTTTTGCTGACATTTATTTGTGAGGTAAGGTGTTTTCTATTTTTCATACTTATAGCGTTCTGAGTACATGTCTTTCCAGCGAAATGACTTCAAAATGGTCCTTATCTCAGGCAGAATTGGAAGAAGAAGTGAGAAAAATTATGGAGGGAGGAGACAGTGATCCAGATCCATTTGAGGATAGTGGCAGTGATTGGGAAGAAGATAATATTGAAGTAGAATCGATGAAAGGATCAGATGATTCAAATGATGAATTCTATTTGGACGAGAATGTTCCTATAAATGAACAAGAAACGACTACTTCGGCAGAGAAAAAGAATGATGACGGCCATGTGAACTCCGACGATCCCGTACATCAACCTCAACTTGAACCTTGTAAAACAAATCACTTTCTAGTTAAACCCAATATTTTGAGTTTGAAAGGAAAGAATGGTCAGAGATGGACATCAACACAGCCCAGCAGAACTAAAAGAACTGCTTCAAGAAACCTCATCCATTTTGTGGCAGGCCCGAAAGGTGAAGCGAAGGAGTATGTGACACTGGAAGAATATTTTTTACATTTCTTCTCTGATCCTATTCTTGATATAATATTACTACACACTAATGGAGAAATTGTACGAAAAAGGCAAAATTACACGGGTAACAACAATGTGTCACCTACCACTAAAGAAGAACTACAGGCGCTGTTTGCAATTTTGATACTCTCGGCTGTCAAGAAAGACAACCATCTATCTGCCAGACATATGTTTGATACGACGATTTCTGGTTCCTTCTATAGAGCCTGCATGAACTGTGACAGATTTATGTTCTTACTGAACTGTCTCAGATTTGATTCAAGAGAAACAAGACAGGAAAGAAAAATTAATGATCCTTTCACCCATATCCGTGAGTTATGGGATATTTTCATTGAAACTTGCAGATCATCATATACACCATCTTCTTACCTCACTATAGACGAACAGCTTTTGGGATTTCGTGGACGATGTCCATTCCGCATGTACATACCGAATAAACCTTCAAAGTATGGTATAAAAATTGTCATGCTATGTGACAACTCAACATGCTATATGGTTGATGCTAGTCCATATATAGGAAAAAGTACCAGAACGAATGGTTTGCCGCTTGCTACCTACTTTGTAAAGGAGCTTACAAAATCTGTCCATGGAAGTAACAGAAATATTACCATGGACAATTGGTTCACGTCCGTCAGTTTGGCAGATGAACTACTCCAAGATCCTTACAAACTGACAATAATTGGAACACTAAGAAAAAATAAAAGGGAAATTCCTCCCGAACTGCTTGACATAAGGCAGCGAAACGTAAATACATCAATGTTCTGTTTTGATCAAGAAAAAGTATTACTTTCGTATGTGCCTAGGAAGCAGAAATTAGTACTGCTATTGTCTATAATGCATGAGGGTGCTGAAATTTCAAAACAAACAGGAAAACCAGCAATTGTTCAGAACTACAATGAAACTAAAGGGGGTGTCGACACATTCGACCAAATGTGTTCCAACATGAGCTGCAGCAGGAAAACTAGAAGATGGCCCCTGTGTGTGCTATATGGTATGGTGAATATAGCCAGCATCAACTCCTTTGTGATTTATACTTTTAATGCTTTATCAAGAGGAGAGAAACCCCTTTCACGTTTCCAGTACATGATAGATTTAAGTCGTCGCCTTGCTGAGCCATGGATGAGGCATAGATTATCGACTCCTACGTTGCGTCGAAATATAAGTCAAGATATTGCCCTTCTTCTCAATATTCGAAAAGATACAACACCTGAAATCCCTCTAGAAAAAAAGCGTAAAACGTGCTTTTTTTGCCCTTCTCAAAAGAGACGGATGACAACGACGTATTGTGGACAGTGTGGACATCCGATCTGTGGTGAGCATCGAGGAAATGTATGCAAGGAATGTAGTGTCAAATAATATATATTGACTTTTTATTGATATTTTGTTCTTGCATTTTATTGTAAAGTCCTTAGAAATATATCTTTTATTTTTCATGAGTTTTTTCATAAGAATTTTATTGTACAATGCAAGTTTTATATTATCTTCGTATATTTTACGATAGTCTCGTATTAAAGTATTTTGAAACAAGTCCCGTAATCTAGGGTTAAATTCGGACCCTCTAAAATCACAGGTGATTCAGCGATCCGAAAAACGTTTAAAAAAGTTGTTCTGATCGCAGGTACACGAAAAAAAATATTTGCGGTCCCTCGTTACTTATGAAGAATTTTAGACGATTTGGAACATTTTTGAAAATACTTGAAAAGCTGCAGGGTCCTTAAATTTATCATCACCAGAACGCATATATGCTGAAAATGTCAACATGATCATCGTCACCATGTAAAAAATACGTTGCGGATAGCTAAATGCTATTTCTTTTTCTTTTAGGAATGCGTGTATCAAATTCAGAAAATGATTTTAAAGATGCACTTGAATCAGCAAAGACGGAATCTCAAAAAGCTTTCGGAGACTCGGCGGTGCTTATAGAAAAGTTCATTTCTGAGCCGAGGCATGTTGAAGTACAGGTGTTTTCTGACCACCATGGAAATAATGTCCATTTGTATGAAAGGGATTGCTCAGTACAGAGGAGACATCAGAAAGTTATTGAAGAGGCACCGGCTGTAAGTTTCATCTTATATGCATTTTTTAGCAGATATGCAAAGTTTGCCGTGGAATAATATATTATATGAGAATAATGTTGATAATAAAATAACTATTTTAAATAATCTAATTTTTACATTGTTTAGTAAGCATGCACCAATAAAAGAATCACTAATAACAAAACCAAAAGCGCCTTGCTTAACTAACAATATTAAATTATTTATGAAACAAAGAGATGCAGCACTGTAAAAATTTAAAAAATCAAAGCTTCAATCAGACTGGGTAGATTATACACATTTAAGAAATTTTACTTTATCGTTGATAAGAAAAAGAAGAAGGAATACATAGAATCTCTATCTGTCTCTATCGGGAGTTCCTCAGGGACCAATATTGGGCCCCTTGTTATTTTTAATTTATACATCCGATATCCTTACGTCTTTAAAGTTTTGTAAAGTTCAGGCTTTCGCGGATAACACCCAGGTTTATTGTTTTTTGATATTGAGGATTACAAATATTACGAAAATTGTATAAATGAGGACCTTGAACGATCTCTCATTAGGCCACAACTTAAAACTTAATCAGCAAAAATCGCATGTAATGATATTTGGTAACAAAACTTTTTTAGAATAGAGATTGAAGTTTATAATATAGGTATATAAGTAGAAAAAATATGTCAAGCAAATTTTATAGTAACCAGTAACCAAATTAATAAACTATTATATGAGAATAATGTTGATAATAAAGTAACTATTTTAAATAATCTAATTTTTACATTGTTTAGTAAGCATGCAGCAATAAAAGAATCACTAATACCAAAACCAAAAGCGCCTTGGTTAACTAACAATATTAAATTATTTATGAAACAAAGAGATGCAGCACTGCAAAAATTTAAAAAATCAAAGCTTCAATCAGACTGGGTAGATTATACACATTTAAGAAATTTTACTTTATCGTTGATAAGAAAAAGAAGAAGGAATACATATATTCTCTATCTATCTATCTCTATCGGGAGTTCCTCAGGGATGAATATTGGGCCCCTTGTTATTTTTAATTTATACATCTGATATCCTTACGTCTTTAAAGTTTTGTAAAGTTCAGGCCTTCGCGGATAACACCCAGGTTTATTGTTTTTTGATATTGAGGATTACAAATATTACGAAAATTGTATAAATGAGGACCTTGAACAATCTCTCATTAGGCCACAACTTAAAACTTAATCCGGAAAATCGCATGTAATGATTTTTGGTAACAAATGTTTGATTTTGAAAGCTGATCTCAATATAATGGCTAATAATTCAAAATTGAATTTTGTTGAAAGTACAAAGAATCTCGGTATAGATTCTCAGCTTAGATTTAAAGATAACCTAAAAAATCTTATGCTTTTGTTCTCTAAAAGCTTTGTATAATAACAGACACATACGAAACAGATCACTAAAAAAATTGTCTGAATCCCAAATTCTTTCCAATTTCAATTATTGCGATTTTGTCTATGGGTTTTGCTTAGATGAGGTCGGATTCAGAAGGTGCAAAATGCGTGCCTCAGGTTTATCTATGGTCTGCGTACGTTTGACCATATATCTCATTTGAATAAAGAAATTAAATGGCTTAAAATAAATGAGCGTTGCACTCTCTATTTTTCTAGTTTTTTATTAAAAATTATAAACACTCCAGGTTCACCTGATTCTATAAGAGAACGCTTAATTTTCCGACATTCTGTTCATGATATAAATGTAAGATATTTAAAAAATTTAACTATGCCGCTTCATAGTAGTGCATTGTTTCAACGACCATTCTCATACAATTAATTAAACAATATAATTCAATTCTCAACCAGTTCCTTAATTTTTCTCTTTCAAGTTTAAAAATACAATATAAGAAATATTTGCTAAATACAAATCTTTTTGAAACTTTTATAGAATAGAGATTGAAGTTTATAATATAGGTATATAAGTAGAAAAAATATGTCAAGCAAATTTTATAGTAACCAGTAACCAAATTAATAAAATATTATATGAGAATAATGTTGATAATAAAATAACTATTTTAAATAATCTAATTTTTACATTGTTTAGTAAGCATGCACCAATAAAAGAATCACTAATAACAAAACCAAAAGCGCCTTGGTTAACTAACAATATTAAATTATTTATGAAACAAAGAGATGCAGCACAATTTTACTTTATCGTTGATAAGAAAAGAGAAGAACAAATACATAGAATCTTTTGAAGGTAACTCCAAAAAACTGTGGTCAGTTTTAAAAAGTTTTAATATCTGTTCTACAAAAAATAATGAAATTCCCCAGTCTTTATCAGAACCTGATGATATTAATAGCGTTTTCGCTGCTTTTCTACAAAATAAATCTAACTGTTCGGAAAAAATTAAATTTTATAAAAACAATGCCTTTAAAAATAACTTAACCTTCAACTTTAAATTAGCAGAAATAACAAATATATACAAAATTTTAAACAACATAAAAAGTAATGCAACCGGGATTGATGATATTTCGCCCTTAATGTTAAAATATTGTAGTCCGTACATAGATAAGTATACAGGGTGTTTCAGTTTACTGTTGCATAACTTTAAGATTCGATAGAACTTTTAAAATTAATGCATTAAGTCTATATAAACATGGGTCGAAAAATTCGTGGCTTCCTAAATACAGGGTGTTTAAATTTACTTTCTAAAATAGTTTTTTTTTAATATTTCGAACAATATTTGATGTATAACAGTGAACATTGGTATACAAGGGTTTTTTGGTACGACAAAACGAACCATGGGCACAGTTTTACTGTAGCCACTAGAGGGCGCTCTCTACTGTATCCGTAGTGCATTAATATGACCGAAAATTTTTTCTCAGTGCAATTTTTTGCTTTTTGAATAAAAAAACTGAATCTTCGCACTTTTCTCTCTCTCCTGTGAGTTTTCGTTATAGTGAGCCGTTTTTGAGATATTTCGATTTTTAAGGTTCGATGCATTTTTAATTATTTATGGGAAAATAATATTTTTTTTACATTTTCGATTTGGGCCTTACGAATAATTAAGATGATCGTTTAGATTGTGTTTTTAAACACAGCAATAATTCCTAACTCCAAATAAACACAAAAAAACAGAATATTAATTTGTTTAATTTTCCAATATTATTTTTAACAAATTAAATTAATTATTTACAACTAAAATGCTATTGGACAGTTAGGACAAACATACAAAATCTAAAGTAGTTGCTCGAAATGTAAACCCAATTGTTCAATACACAATTCACATCTATGAATGATCGAACGTGGTATAACATTATTCAAATAAGGCCTTATTTCATCACAAGCATTCCTGATTCTGTCTTTAGATTTAAAGATCACCTAAAAAATCTTAAGCTTTTGTTCTCTAAAAGTTTTGTATAATAACAGACACATACTAAACAGATCACTAAAAAAAATTGTGTGAATCTCTAATTCTTTCCAATTTCAATTATTGCGATTTTGTCTATGGGTTTTGCTTAGATCAGGCAAGTAGAGGTCGGATTCAGAAGGTGCAAAATGCGTGCCTCAGGTTTATCTATGGTCTGCGTAGGTTTGATCATATATCTCATTTGTATAAAGAAATTAAATGGCTTAAAATAAATGAGCGTTGCACTCTCCATTTTTCTAGTTTTTTATTAAAAATTATAAACACTCCAGGTTCACCTGATTCTGTAAGAGAACGCTTAATTTTCCGACATTCTGTTCATGACATAAATGTAAGATATTTAAAAAAAATAACTATGCCGCTTCATAGTAGTGTATTGTTTCAACGATCATTCTCATACAATTAATTAAACAATTCAATTCAATTCCCAACCAGTTCCTTAATATTTATCTTTCAAGTTTCAAAATACAATATAAGAAATTGCTAAATATATACAAATCTTTTTGAAACTTTTTTAGAATAGAGATTGAAGTTTATAATATAGGTATATAAGTAGAAAAAATATGTCAAGCAAATTTTATACTAACCAGTAACCAAATTTTATAGCGACCAGTATTAATTAATATCTTTTTGAAATTTCAAATACTTTCAATCCATTAACACGTGATTATTATTATGATTATTCTGTATTGTTGTTTAAGACTTATTACTATTATTATTTTTTTTGTCTTATTTTGGTTCAGTAGAGTAGATTTAAGCTAGACTTGCGCCAATATTAGGCAATGTATTCTGTATTTTTTTCTAAATTACCTTTGTAAAAAGATTATTTGTTTTATTCAGTAAAGGCATTCATTATTATTATTATACAGGGTGTCCGCAAAGTTGGGGTTTTCCTTTACACGACGCGACGTGTAGATCTTGAAAACATAAGCAATTTTTCTTAGTACCATATACACCAATGTCTTAAGGGAACCGAGATAAAGGGCTCTGCAACATCAAAAATATCTGAATACCGTCCTGTAGCCGCGACCCGCGACATAACCAAGTGGTACAAGGTCACTGGCTCAACCCGACGACAGAACTGGGTCGGGGTCAGTGTGTCAGGTCAGTATGCAACCTTCAACCCACTGTTACGGTCACGCGTGTAGAGGTAATCGCGTAGACGAGAATCCCTCAACAAGCACTAGAGACGTGGCTAGAGAAGTGCAAGTATCAAAAACTAAAGTGTGGCAAACGCTGCGTGAAGAGGGGCTGTATCCGTTTCACGTCCAACGTGTACAAACCCTTCAACCTGACGATTTTCCAGCAAGAGTGCGGTTTTGTGAGTGGTTGTTGCATTAACATGACAATAATCCGGACTTTTAGAAGTGCATATTGGTGACAGACGAATCTACGTTCACGCGTAATGGGGTGAATAACTTTCGCAGCACTCATGTTTGGTCAGAAGAAAATCCGCACGCTGTCCGTCGGGCACATTTTCAACAAACATTTTCGGTGAATGTTTGGGCTGGCATGGTGAACGGTATGCTCATTGGACCATTTATTCTCCCAAATCGATTGGACGGGATGCAATACCTAGACTTTGTACGCAACATTTTGCCTTCCTCGTTAGAAGATGTGCCATTAAGTGTAAGACAATCAATGTGGTTTCTGCACGATGGTGCACCGCCCCATTTTAGACGCGAAGTGCGTGAGTTTTTGAATGAATTATTTCCGAATAGGTGGATCGGACGTAATGGACCCGTAGCGTTGCCTCCGCGATCTCCAGACTTAACACCATGTGATTTTTTTCTTTGGGGAGAAATGAAACGCTTAGTGTACAAAACTGAAGTACATACGGTTGACGAACTTCGTCTCAGAATTGAACAAGCTGGTGCTTTCATTCGGGGGAGGGACTCCATTCTCAAAGCTTGCACCGATGCTTGGCTACGTCGTGCACGCACCTGTGTTTTTGAATCAAACGGCGATAACTTCGAACAATACCTATAAAGTACGTTTACCTAAAAACTGAAAACGCTGCAACGCCGTCATATTTGTTACCTCTGTTCGTGGTCTGCACCACCGCCGGCGTCTGCTCGGTAGCGCATCAGCTGATTTCATTTTCTGTTGGAGCGGTATGATTTCGGGCAGAGACGTACTTAGCCCTTCTCGTCAACTGGAGAGTGAGTACTTTTACCTTTATTTTTTTTACTTGGTCGCCCTCGTTTTACTACACATTACCTTTGTTATTTCAAGGGTAGTTGTTTCTGAAAAGGAAAACCTCAACTTTGCGGACACCCTGTATAGTCTACCAAATTAATTTTTAGATTATAACAAAACAATCTTTTTCTCATAGCATTGGTAAACATTATCGAATAACATAAAGTTGATAATTATTTATTACGTAATCTGCACGTCGGATTTTTATAAAACGTCTTATCTCTAGGTGCGAACAATAAATTGATCGTTGGGTATCGTCTTCGCGTTTGGAAATCTTGTAATTATTCCGCGTGCTAGTAAAAATAAAGATCTACTTTAAAATCTTTGATATTAGAACCCCTGAAATAATGTTGTTGAATTTTTAACTTTGCCTCCTTCAAGAACGATCAAGGTGTTGAAAAGAACGTATAACACCAAATTGGAATAGAAAAAAAATAGTAGTGTTTAATAAACACTCTTAGATTCTTAGTATAGCCATTATAAGCGGTAATACCATTACATGTACTTTTTCCCTCTAGTTTCTCGTAATCTGTTGACTATAAGACACTTTTTCAAACAAGCGAAATGATAGAGAATGAAACCGCCTACAAAATTCTTTCTATTAATTTTTTACATTTGATGGATAGTTTTCGAGATTTTCGATCAAACGCGTTTATCAAAATGGCGGCAAAAATCCCATCATGTCGTCAATTTGATCTGAACAATTTACGGTCGCACAAATTGTAGTATTTCCTTCCCAAATCTCCTTATTCCGTTAAAAGAATTTTAACATTTTTGAGTTGTGACTTTTCATGTGTTTTTAACGAAAATTTAGCCCAACATCTCGGAAAACTTGAGGCAGAAGCTAGGCCTGACTGCAGTGACAGCTGCTAAAGCAGTGGGATACGTGGGAGCTGGTACCGTTGAATTCATCTTGGACAAAAAGACAGAGGATTTCTATTTCATGGAAATGAATACTAGACTGCAAGTTGAACATCCAGTTACTGAAATGATAACAGGTACAATATTGTTCAAGGAAAACCTGTCAAAGACTCATATCTTCAACAGTAGATGGTTTTAAATCAACATTTAGGGTGGTGAGCACCAATGGAGAGAACTCAAAGCTAAATTAATTACTGAAAATATCCGAAATTCGAGGTCAAATTGGTTCCGAATATAAAGGTGGTAGGGCTGTGTAGCTGCAGTATTAAAAATATCGCGGCATGATTATTAAACAAAATTTGAAGTGGTCAATTTTAAAGATGTTTATCAGTATACTAATTCAGTTTTGACTTCTCTCGCTTGGTGCTACCTACCCTTAACGTTTTTATAGCTACATTTCCAAGATCGCCCGCTCAACTGAACTATATAGCTGTTTCATGCTTATTGGTCATCATCAGCATGGTCCAGGTATTATTAGTTTTCTCAACGTCAATGCCAAGTACGAGAGTGATTCCGAAATCAAGGTCTGTCACTTTTTTAAGTTATAAAAAGCTTTTATTTAGAAAAATTGATACATGATTATAGTGCATCAACTTTTGATCTACGAGCCCCTTCCCACTTCAGTTCAACCTATTTTCATTTCAATGCAAAATAAGTCTATAACGCATAGGTGGCTGTGAAAAATAAAAGCCATGACGATTGTTTTTATTAATCACAGCTGTCAGAATACGTCTAAAATAGTTTTGGGTAGTTAAGGTTTTCAAAATGGGTAGAAGAAAGGTTATTAGTGAGAAAATTCGGTTACTGATAATTAAATTTTTTAATTCTGGGAAATCAAACTCAGAAATTGCAACTTTGTTAGACTTATCGCGGTACAGTGTGAGAAATATTGTTAGAAGATATAACGTAACTGGTTCACTTAATATTAAGCCACGATATGTGAAAAAAAGTAAAGTCACAAATGCCGACCGAAGAGCATTAAGAAGAATAATCGTGAAAAATAGGCGTGCCAATTATTTACAATTAAGTGCTCTGTGGAGTGACGCTGTTGGAAGGAGAATTTCGAGGTCCACAACTCATAGAGAGGCCCACAAACTCGGATTTAGCACTTGCAAGGTAAGTTTTCTTATAAAAAAAAGTGAAGTAAAAACCCTAAAGTAGCACAACTTGTTTATAGGCCAAAGAAAAGCCACTATTAACTCCACTGCAAAAGAAAAATCGGCTTAGATGGGCTAAAGAACATAGGCAATGGATACCTCAACAATGGTGTGTAATACAATGGAGTGATGAGGCCCGATTCGAAGTTTGTGTTGGTGACAGTCGCAGTAGAGTTATTCGCAAAAAAATGAAGCATTCCATGTTGACTGTCTGAAGAGAAAAGTGAAATTTCCAGCATCCATTATGGTCTGGGGCAGTATGTCATCAAAAGGAGTAGGAAAACTTCATTTTATTGATGGAAATGTGGATACAAACAAATATTTGGCAATTATAGAAGAATCGTTTTTACCAGTGATGGAAGAATGTTTGACATCCGGCCAAGATTTTGTATAGCTCAAAAAAGGCTATAAAATGGATGGAAGAAAATAATGTACCACTTTTGAAATGGGTTTCTAGCAGTCCAGATCTGTCACCTATTGAAACTTTGTGGCACGAGATGATAAAGGTTCTACGACAACATCCTGCTCGTACAATCACCGAACTGAGACAAAAACTTCAAGAAATATGGCATTGCTTTACATCAAATTTTTGCTAAAACTTGGTTAACACTATGCCCCAAAGAATTTCAGCCGTAATAAAAAATAAAGGTGATGTTACCCAATGGTATCTTTCAATTGTTGCTTTGTTAACTTCGCGCATTTATTCGCAGATTGTTCATTTGTTCAGATGTTCTATTAGTTATAGGTCTAAGTGATTTCAAATATGTATTTTTTACCTCTAGAGCGTATGTAAAATGTTTTTGAGAAAATAAATTGTTTTAGAAGTAAATAGTTTCATGTAAAGGCATATTTTGGTACAAATCTTGAAGTGGGCCAACTGAAGTGGGAAGGGGCTCGTATTTATCATGTCGGTCATACCGTCAGGGTTATTACATAAAAAACCTATATAATGTCAAAGAGACCGACGAAATGCCAACTTGCTGTCTAGATAGTTCTAGTGTGCAAATAGTTAAATCCGCTATTGCTCGCTATGAGTGCTGTGAGCGTCACCGAAAGCATCATCTGTGAAGGAATGGCTCAAAGTCACGCTCAATGAGCAGGTGCAAGTTACCCGTCATGCTTTGTTGGTTGCAGAATGTCGAGATAGGCTGTAGAGAGCCTCTGAGAAGATGTGGCAAAGAACAGAAAGTAACAGAGTAGCAAGATCGCATCTGGATGATTGTGTCTATTGGTCTGCATGTGTATTAAATCGGCGATATTTGCTATGTGAGAAAATTATTACCGAACATACTGCCCATGAAGTATATCTATTAGATGTACCAGACGGGTTATTTGCGTTAACCCTCCTGGAGAGAGGTTATGTTCAAAGTTAAAAATTACGATTATCCCCGTTTTTTTGCGTTTTCAAAAACTTTGAGAAGCATTACTGGAAATCAGCACCGCGTCTGCGTTGCAGGAAAATGTCACAAAAATCTCATATAATGTTAAAAAAACCGACATTATGTCAGTTTTTAAGACTCGTAATACGCCTGCTGGTCCTTGACGTATTGAACCTCATCATTCGCTTCGTCGTCATAGCTGTATCGCTTTGTCAAATGTTCTTTCATCTTAGGGAACAGGTGACAATCGATGGGTGTCAAGTCTGAACTAAAGGGTTGTAGTATAGTTCGAACACACAGTATTAATATTATTATTGTAAATTGTGAGAAAATGTTAGGTATTGCAAATAATATAGGCCGGAAATCCTGCAGTCAACAGAGCAATCACCTGAAAACACCTAGCAACAAGGATTATGGATAGAATAAAGTTAATCGTAAAGAATGAATGTGTTTTACTAAAGGGAGTAAAAGCTCAAAAGAATTATATGTATATACAGGGTGTCCCAGGAGTCGACGTCAAGCCGAAACTGGGTGATAGGCAAAGTCATAACAGCTATCAGAAAAATATTTAAAAAACTTTTATGTATGTGTTTTGAAAATTATTGGTCTTTGAAAAAGATATAGAAATTTCACACCCTACGACAGTCTGTCAACTCCTGTTACTACAAATATTAACTTTTTTTGGATTTTATTTTTACAATGTAATGATGAATAATGCATCTTCAAACTGGTGTCTCAACCTTACTGCCAACTTTTCTCGTTCAGGAAAAATTGCCACTTATTTCCCAACCAAGTATTCCAAAGTAAAACTTTGCTCAACTTTAACTGGCTGTACTGGAAAAAAAATGTACTACGAGAGTTTGGCAAGTAACCTTAAAAGTTGGCGCATTTAATAACGATTCCAAAATGGTATAACACTTAGAAGATTACTCGTTAACTTATGCACAATTTTTATTTGAAGAAAAACTGATGAAAATTTTTAAAAATTTCCTAATTAAACAGCGATTATGAAAACGCACAAGGGCCCTTAAGGATAACTGTTTGCACAACAGTGGGCGTCAAAATGCTGCTGATGATGATTCACCTTTACAGCAAATGCTCAAACTGTTTTCCTTCAGCCGCAATACACGCTCGACATCTTCTTAAAAAAGATCGGGTTATTAAACGAGCGAATCCACGGTTATTAACAAACTCAGCTGCTTCCAATAGTCTTTGCCGTAGCTCAGCTACATTTTGAATCGGCTTGAAATACACTTTTTCTTTTACAGTTCCCCAGTAAAAAATCTAAAGGATTCAAATCAGGTGATCGGGCTGGCCACGGTATTGTACCAGACCGCCTTATCCATCTGCCTGGAAAGTTTTGATCGAGATACTCTCTCACTGAGAGTGCATAGTGCGCTGGGCAGCCATCATGCTGAAACCACATGTCCCTGTAAATACTGAGTGGTACGTCCACTAATAAATTTTGTACATGATTTTTCAAAAAATCCAAGTAAACTTCAGCAGTCAAAGTCTCTGGGAACTCAAACGGACCGATTATTTTACCATTTAAAATTCCTGTCCAATGGTTTATCTTGAAGCGATATTGAGATTTATCTTCTCTCATCAAATGTGGGTTTGCTACGTGCCACTCGTGTAAGTTATGCAGGTTCATGTACCCATCTTTTTTAAATGTGGTCTCATCCGACCATAACATTTTTTCGAAGAACTGTGGATCTTTCCTGTGTCTTTCTAACATTGTGCGACAAAAAACAACTCGGGGCTCATAATCCCGGGGCAGGAGAGGTTGAACACGCTGTACGTGGTATGGATGAAGCACATCACTTACTTGCTATTGCACACTTTGATACCGATCAGTACTCCTTCGTTTACTGCGCATCTTTACATGTTCGTGCTTGTTGATTTCGTACTGTTACTAATTTTGGATTCGTGAACTGGACTGATCGCTTGTGATTTGGATTTGGACTGTTTAATTGCTCTTCAAAACAACATTTGCTTTTCTTAGACTATCTTTGATAGTGTGATTGTGCAGTGCCGCTATGTCCGTGTACACCGTACAAGAATATGCTAACATGCACCTCATTTATGGGGAATGCAGATGCAACGCTAGTGCTGCAGCGAGACTTTACTGTGGGAGGTACCCGAATGCAACTCGTCATCCAGATCGTCGAGTGTTCACAAATGTGCACCGCTTACTGTTCTCAGAGGGCCAACTACCAAACCAATCACACGGTGAGGGAAGATCTTTCCTTCCTTACGAAGACGTGGTGCTAGGAGCTGTCGAAGAAGACCCGAGTACTTCAGTGCGTGCAATAGAACTAAAAACAGGTGTTCCCAAAAGTACAGCCCATAGAATCTTGCAAAAAAACGTGCTCCATCCATACCACGTACAGCGTGTTCAAGCTCTTCTGCCCCGGGATTATGAGCCCCGAGTTGCTTTTTGTCGCACAATGTTAGAAAGACACAGGGAAGATCCACGGTTCTTTGAAAAAATTTTATGGTCAGATGAGACCACATTTAAGAAAGATGGGTACATGAACCTGCATAACTTACACGAGTGGCACGTAGCAAACCCACATTTGATGAGAGAAGATAAATCTCAATATCGCTTCAAGATAAACCAGCAGCATTTTGACGCCCACTGTTGTGCAAACAGTTGTCCTTAAGGGTCCTTGTGCGTTTTCATAATCGCTGTTTAATTAGGAAATTTTGAAAAATTTTCATGTTTTTCTTCAAATAAAAATTGTGCATAAGTTAACGAGTAATCTTCTAAGTGTTATACCATTTTGGAATCCTTATTAAATGCGCCAACTTTTAAGGTTACTTGCCAAACTCTCGTAGTACATTTTTTTCCAGTACAGCCAGTTAAAGTTGAGCAAAGTTTTACTTTGGAATACTTGGTTGGGAAATAAGTGGCAATTTTTCCTGAACGAGAAAAGTTGGCAGTAAGGTTGAGACACCAGTTTGAAGATGCATTATTCATCATTACATTGTAAAAATAAAATCCAAAAAAAGTTAATATTTGTAGTAACAGGAGTTGACAGACTGCCGTAGGGTGTGAAATTTCTATATTTTTTTCAATGACCTATAATTTTCAAAACACATACATAAATTTTTTTTAAATATTTTTATGATAGCTGTTATGACTTTGCCTATCACCCGGTTTCGGCTTGACGTCGACTTCTGGGACACCCTGTATATATATATATATATAAATGTATTACAGGGTGGGAAACAATCTGATCGAGATTATTTTTGCTCAGCTTTTATTCGTTGTCGCACGTAGATCGTGCTGATGATTGCCATCAATCATGAAACAGCTGTACATGGTTGGTCGAACAGACGAAAGCAGTACCATTATTTTTATTATTGATGGTTTAAAGTATTTCAACAGGATTTGATCTGGTCGAATGGCAGATCAAGGTAGCCCAAGGTGAGAAATTGCCCAAGGAACAAGAAGAAATAACTGCTCGCGGACACGCTTTTGAAGCTAGAATATATGCTGAGAGTCCTAAAAGGGGATTTTTGCCTGGAGCTGGACCACTGCTCCATCTGACGACGCCCTCCCCTTCAGAAGATGTCAGAATTGAAACAGGTGATTGTCACACAAAAAAATGATGTCCTTGGTTTCTAAAACTGACTAGGATGGTATGATGACACACGTTCATTATTTATGTAGTATATTAAATAACTAGCAACTATTGGTTTGAACTTGTAAGGATATCGGTTCGCGTTTGATAGCCCAGTCACAGTGGCCGCTAGAGGCTGTTGATTCTGGAGGTATAGAAGATGCGGTCTACTCGGAAAAGCACGAAACAGCTGTCTAGGGTTAGCTGATTGTTCAATAACGATTAGGCCATATTTAATTTACGCCAGAATCGTCAGCCTTCTAGCGGTCACATGGTGACTGGGCTATCAAATGCGAACTAAGATCATTACAGTTCCAACCTATAGCTGCCGTACACTCACGCAGTGATCGATTCTGGTAATGGTCTCATTTCGAACGCCAATTGATATCCTGATTATATAAAAGTTTATTTTTAGGTACGCAGCAAGGCGATGAGGTTTCAGTCTATTATGACCCAATGATAGCCAAGCTAGTTGTATGGGGCAAAGACAGATTTGAAGCGTTATCAAAACTAAAGAGGTCATTATTAGACTACAACGTAAGACATTATTTTTAACCTTTCTTAAGCGACTCCAATTCATGATGATGTGTGTATAGATTGCAGGCTTGGATACGAATGTGGACTTCATGATCTCGCTGGCAGCACATCCAGAATTCGTTAAGGGCAACGTTCATACGAATTTCATCAACGATCATGGAGACAGTTTATTGTCGACTCATCCTCCGACTGAGACCCAAATTGGCCAAACGGCCTTAGCGTTGGCATTGAAGTTTAAACAAGAAGAACATGAAAGAGCAGTGGAGCAGAGAGATCAAAGTAATCCGTTTAATGTTGAAGATGGTTTCAGAGTGAACTATAATAATGTGAAAGATATGAAACTGGAATCAGATGGAACAGGTACATTCTTTGGTCAAAGTTTTTTTCTTTGTTCTGTCTTATAACCTTCTGCAGATGATCGCAAGATATTCGTTGTAATTGATGGGTTCTCCTATGCAGTTCTCAATGTCAGCCCGGGTGTTCCCCACGGATCGTTGGCTCTGACATTAATTCTCTTACATATCAACGACGTTCTTTCCTGTATGATCAATCCGACCTACAATTTTTTTGATGGCAGCATTTTACATACGAGAATTCAGTTTGCCAATCCGATCTCAGGCGAGAGACCTGGAGATTATCACTGCTTGGGGGTGCAACAATCTGGTACAGTTTGGTGCTTCCAAAACACAGTAATGTATACTTTATCTGAAGTCACTTGAAACACTGTGAAATACCGGGTGCGTTTTATATATCTATATTTAACACGCTCTGTTGCTGCAAAAATCGCCAAATTTCGCAGCAAATATCCCCCGTATAAGAGATCAAAGGCCGTTTCACCGGTCCACGTGGAGTAAAGCACGCCTATGCGTGGACATAGCCAATAAGAAAGCGTGTATTTCAGAGCTCGGAACAAGTGCAGGTGGCTACTGAAAATTGAAACAGTTTAGCCAGTGCCGTGTAGCGGTGAATAAACGTGTTTTCTTTAGTCTGTTCGTGTTTTTTCATAGATTTTATTAGTTTGTGTGTTTTTGACTTTTGAATACTCAGTTTACTTGTTGATTTAATTGTTGTGTTGATTGTTCTTCTGTGTCCTAAATATGGCTCTTTGGAGACCTTGGGAAAATGCTCCAAGCCACGAGGAGATGGTTGATGAACCTGTGCAGGCAGAATTCTTTCATAAAGATTTAGAGGAACATACCCAAAGAGTAATCCTAAATATGTATGATTGTCTGAAAAACGAATATCCAGATTCCTCGCAAAATCAAATTTTAAACAGAATTTGTATCCTGACAAAAATCAGTCGGTCTACCATTTATCGAGTTATAAAAAGGGGAGATGTAGTCAACTATTCCTTCCACAGAAAGCGCATAGGGCAAAAATTAAAAAGAATAGACGTGGGTTTTCAGGAAGATATTCGTCGTATAATATACGGATTTTATAAAGAAAATTTGGTGCCCACGTTGGAAATGATACGGGATAAATTAAAAGATTATCCTGAAGATTTTTATAATTACAAATGCTTAGACTCACTGCACTGTATTGTAAAACTGTGTAGTTTTCAATACAAAAAAATAGATAAAAGAATGGTGATTATGGAGTCGTCTCGAATCGTTGAATTGCGCCAAGAATTTTTGCACAAAGTTAAAATCTATAGAGAGCAGAAAAGAAATCTGATTTAACTGGATGAAACGTGGTATGATACCCATGATGTTGTGCAGTAAGGCTGGGTTGACGACAGCAACAAGTGCATTTTAAATGCACCATGCAACCGTGGAAAACGAATCATTATTCTCCATGCTGGCAGTGAAAATGGATTTATACCTAATGCCTTGCTGTTATCTGCCAAAAATATCAAAGAATCATGTGCCGACTATCATGAGGACATGACCTCCGACTTATTTGAAAAGTGGATAGAGTAGCAGTTAATACCAAACATTTCCCCAAATTCAGTGATTATTATGGACAATGCGCCATACCATTCCCGACAGAAAAACAAAATTCCGAATACAGGCACAAAAAAACAAGACATTATTGATTTTATGAAGGATAAGGGAATGGAAATACCACAAAAATCAGCCAAAGCCATATTATTGGATCTTATTAAAAGACAAAAATTTGAAAAAGAGTATGTTGTTGACAATCTGCTTCAGCAAAATGGCCATGAAGTATTACGTCTACCTCCCTATTACTGCATTTTTAACCCGATTGAGTTGGTCTGGGCTGCTTTAAAAAAAAAGTAAGAAAACATAATCAGACCCCTCAATTAAGTGAATCGCTATTGGCCACAATAAGAGATGCAGTATCTCATATTGCTGCCACAGACCTAAGGAAGCAGTGTTCTAGGCATATTATTGTAAAAGAAAATGAATATTGTGTTTTGCCTCCTGTAAATCCCGTTGTAATTCCTCTACAAGATGACTCTAGCGACAGCTCCGAAGGCGGGGATGATATATAAATACCTATAATGTAAGTCTTTATATACCTTTTTATATACCTACCTGCTATGTAAATATTTGCCTATGTCAAACGTTGGAATTCTGTAATTTTTCCATTTCTTAACTTTCAGTCAACATAAATTAAACTCCCAATATAAGTATTTTTTATCCCAAATCAAAAAAATAAGAAGATAGTAAAATCCATTTATTGTGATATAAAAACATTATTATTATCGTTCTAAATAAATGCCGCACGCCTATGATACGTCATGAAATTACAAAGGACGCACCGACCAAATGTTTTTATGCTATTTCAAGTGACTTCAGATACACCATACCTTGACGACTAGAAAAGTTCTAGTACTCATTCAGTTTCGATGGATGGCTGAGTTTTACCAATAAACCGATAATTTCGACAACAAATCTCGTCAATAGCGGAAGCTGCTGGGAAAAGTCTAGGCTATTTGTTTAGGGCCAAGAAGTACAGAAATAAGCCATAGAAATTGCACATACCTCCTTCATCTTCTGCTCTCCAAATATACCGAATTGCAACGTCGCATTAGCACCTAAGGTGATTCAATAAGCATTTAGGTAGTGGCGAAATGATATGGACTGTAGAAGAGTAGCGTCACTCCATCGTTAAAACAGTTTTTCGTGAGGTGTCTGAAATTACATAGTGGTATCCAAAATCCTAGAATCGCAGAACACTGTATTGTTTTACGCGTCGCGAAACTAGCAGGAAGTGGGATGCTAATATTTCGATGCTCCGCTAATGATGTAAAGGCGACTATTGTTATTATAACATATTTGGAATTTGAGACATCGTCGCTTAAGTTGTAACACCATGAATCGCAAAAATTATATTTGCTTGAAAAAGCCACCGTTATTGCTCGAATGTCATCAGTAGGCACTATTAGCTGATGAGGTTTCATTTGCGACTAGACAAACATGGAGGATTATAAGATCAAACGTTTTTCATATTTACATTTTAGATGAGAATGTTCAGTTTCCAAAGGTAACTATGTTCGGTAGCCTATAGTCAAATAAGAGAATTGATGACAGTAGCAGAAGCCACCGTGCGCCACTGCATTGACGTGGTACCTTTTGATTACAGCGATGTTTGCAAACATTTCACAAACAGGCGCTGCATTTTTAAAGGCCTCCGCATAATAGCAGTGTCGTACGATGAGTTTCGCTACTGTCATCAATTTTGGTATTTTACTATAGCATTTACGACTTGTCTATTCAATACCAAAGATCCAACCTACCATATCAGCATTAATCAAACAACCTGCCTCTCCCTGAATATTGAAATTTGAAGGAAATATTTTGCTTTGGAAAAGCCTGGATATATATTACAAATAAAGATGTAATCTGCTTTGAAAATCACACCATACTGAGAATTTAATTAAACCTGCACCTCATCAACAGCAATAGCCCACCGCCACTGGAGACAACTCAATCAAGCCACGCGCCTCTATAGAATGCGGTTCCTTCTATCTATAATTTATTGCTCGGACATTACCTTCCAGTATCAGTAATGACTTTTAGACTGTCTTCGGCGCTAATACAGCGTTGTAATTCAGTATTTTGGGAGGCCAGAAGACGAATGAGGTATGTGCAACTTCGATCGCTTATTTTTGTACATTTCTCCACATGACCTCCACACTGTGTACAAGGCCCATATGAGACCATACCTCGAGTATTGCTCACATGTTTGTGGTGCTGCCACCCCGACTAATTCCCTATGTTCGATGCTGTTCAGATGAGGACTGTTCGACTGATTACAGAAAACCTTTTCGTTGTAAATCGCAGACGGTTTAAAGATTAAAGTTTAAACATACCAAAACTTCATCTAATCTGTTTCTCTTTCAGTGAATCCAGTGATCATGAAACAAGTAGATAATGGGAGATTCAGTATTTCGTGTGATGAAGGAAAATCTTGGAAAACTATGGAGGGAGTAATTGTCCAAAGGAACAACAAATTCATTTTGGATTGCATAATCGATGGTTCCAAGTGCAAGTACAACGTGTTCAAGAATGATGATATCATAGCCGTTTTCACAGAGGTCAGTCGAATTAACGAATATTTTTGTCCACGATCGGGGGGTAAAGTGTACATTATCGATGAAGTTTTGCGAGCGTTAAGTACCACTTTTTAACTCACGGACTAGGGCGGTAAAGTGATCTTAGCGCCCACTATGTATGAGTTACTGAGAAACATTGCAATTAAGGGTGTAACAGAAACGTCCACACTTGTAGGATTGAGTTGCAGAATTTCCTACAATTGGAAATGTTTCACTTACTTGGTAATGATAGTATAATAGTAACTTCGCTGTCGTTGAGATTTCTATATTGTTCCGCTTTTTTAATTTATGAGGTAACACGCCAAAAAGGATATTTGTTTCCTTTGATTTAGGTCAAAAATTGCATCTTAAGTTCAAAAACAATAATTTTTTAACCTACGGGCTAGGGCGGTTAAGTGATTTTAGCGACCGATATGTATGAGTTAGCTTAGGAATCCTAAACAATATCAGTTCCTTCCAACAATGAAGTTCTGATAGTCCGGAATGGTCATTTACAGATCAGTTCAAATCGTAACTAGACAACATAATATCATTAATTTATTTGGATGACTGTATCTGGCAGTCTCTGATTGTCAGAAATTCCATGTTGGAAATAAAAGAACCCGGCGACCACGATAATGGTCTTTATTTATTATAACAGCGTGACTATTGATGGCAGTGGCGGATCCAGGGGGGGAGGGAGGGGGGCAGGTGTCCTGGAGGTTCGTAACCCCACCTCGGAAGTATCCCAGTTTAAAAAAAATTGGAATTCATTTTCTGGTTTGCTGACGACCCCCTCCCCTCGATCTTCAATTTTCAACTTCCTGGTCCAAATCCTGAGCACCTACCCTCCTACCCAAGCCCCAAAAAATTTCCAATTCATCAGCTGGGCCCTCCTCCAAAATATTTCCCAGATCCGCCCCTGACTGATGATGCAATAATATCCAATTCGACCCCTCACTTAGTCCAATATCTGGATACTCTGACCTGACCGCTGTGTCAGACAATGACGAATAGAGAGAGTGATATAATTCAACTTGCTATTCTAAATATTTAATTTTGGCGGGTTGCAGTTAAACTTTTTATGTGCGTATTTTCACAAATATATGTCACAAGTTTTGCGCTGATACCTTTCAGTCTGGAAAGTCATCCAGAATGAAGATTTTCAATACTTTCAAAAATCTAGAGACAAGAATAATGCATTTTCTTCAATTTGATCTGTTCGCCCGATGAGTTTGACATGCGTATTCACCACTTTTATTAAATTTCGGTTGCAGATTTAGCGGAATAATAAATATTAGTAATAATAACTATAGACATCTTTATTTCATCACAACAATATTGTAACGGCGAAATTTAGTATTTGCTACCCTTAAATTTAACCATAAAGTCCTGGCAGATGTTAACAATAATGAAATATACTAAGTGACATATAAATCCGAACACCCAGTTTAAATGGTTTTATTTCAATAAAATTTTGTATAAGTACTTAATGAAGCATAATAAGTAACTGATAAAAATTTCAAAATGATTGCACTGCTTTAAAGCCCTTTGACCTTTAATAATGTGTGGATGCACCCTGATGTGCTACGCATTCTCCAACGCGCCTAGGCATGCTTCTGATCAGGTGGTCAATGTCCTCCTGTGGTATCTTATTCCAGGCAACCACCAACTCCTCTCGAAGTGTTTCTAGAGTCTGAGGAGGACGTTGCAAATTGAGCAATCTCCTACCCATCATATCCCACACGTGCTCAATTGGGGATAAGTCGGGAGATCTTGGTGGCCATGGTAACAATGTGACATCATTATGTTGAAAGAAGTCTATTGTGACTCTTGCAACATGTGGTCGGGCATTATCTTGTTGGAAAGTTGGATCTGCCAGGGTGTCAAGATGGTGTCAAGGGTAAAAGATGGGGTTCTAGAACTTCGTAGATATAACGCTGCGCGTTCATGTTACCTCTGATGAAGATTAAAGGTGACCTGGAACCATAAGCTATAACACCCCAAACCATAACTCCAACAGTGTGAAGAATATGTCTTTCAACAAAAAACTGTGGATTCCTCCTTTCACCACGTCGCCTTCTAACCCTGGCACGACCATCGTGCATGCCTAAACAAAATCGAGACTCGTCACTAAAGACAATACTGTTCCATTCCTGATCCCAGAGTGACCGTTGTCTGCACCACTCAAGGCGATTACGTCGGTGTTCTCGAGTTAAAGGGAGGACCCAGTGTGGCCGGTATGAAAACAAGCCAAAACTTCTCATTCGTCGGTAAACACTTCGCATGCCAACAGGTCTTCCGTGTTCTGCAAACCATTCATTTGCAATGGACCTGGTAGTGGAGAAACGGTCCCTTAAGGCCAATAATCTTAAGGGGCGATCTTCACGGTCTGTTGTTCTACGGCGGCGTCCAGTGCCCCTTGCTCTTTGCGTACGGCCTTCTCGAAGCCATGCCTGACAACACCTAACCACAGTGTCTACACTTCTTTGCACTGTAACTGCAATTGCCCGAAAAGAAAGTCCAGCTTCCCGAAGTCCCACTATACGGCCCCTATCAAACTCACTAAGTTGATGAAATCGTACAGGTCTCCGTACTCTAGGCATCGTAACCGATCGTAAAGGATGTCAAGAACCAAAATCCGCCAACGTTGATTCTTTACTGCGGCTGAAATATTCATTTTTAGAGCGTTAGTGAATTAAAAAAAAGCAGTATAAAAACCGGAATGTCCAACTGATAAGGCTGAAAATTTTTTCACTTCTTATTTACAGTAAGATAAATACATTCACCAACTTTTATTAAAATAAAACCATTTAAACTGGGTGTTCGGATTTATATGTCACTTAGTATATAACTATTCACAACAAATTTAAACTTTTAGTAATTAATTATTATAATAAAAGGAAAACAAAGTACACCAAAAAATAGAAGAGCAAAAATGATCATTAGAAAGGTAAAAAAGCATGATTGTTTAGGGCCATATAGTAGTCAGTCATTCCTACAATTTATTGTAGGACGCCTTTATGGCCTCCATGATTTTCATAGTATTTTCCCTCCTTCAGAAAGGCTAGAATATTGTGAGGTTATATTTCCTTTTTGAAATGTATGAAATTCCAGGCTGATAAAACAGATGACAAAAATAAAAGGCATGAACAATTTGCAATAATAATAATAACCTCAAGATAAAGTGCTGACACGGAATACGTCTAAATTTCTGAAGGACCGGAAAAACTATGAAAATCAAGGAGGCCATAAAGGCAATTGACGATACGGCCCTTACTAATCCAATGGAAGTAATGATAATTTCACTTTTTGTCGAAAAGCTGGTGATGAGTATTGTTTATACAATTTTGGGATGAATTGTATATGTTGGCAGCATTGTAGGAGAAACTGCGTTGAAATAGGGTTGTTGAATACTGAGGTATCCTGATGAATTTTTTTTCGCAAGTAAGGCGGTTCAGTCGTAAGTAATAATTCATGGAGTAGTGATATTTAAACAAATCATTTATTTTCAACCGATTGAGTATTGGATAGTTTTCTGATACATGATCATGCCGAGCCCAAAAATAAGACGAACACAGATATTTTGGATGATTTAAATTAGGTCTTGGTATAGATTTTGACACTGGATGTAGTAAGAAAATTTTTCAAAAACCAGCCATGAAAAACATGTTTTTTGAGCAAACAAAAGTAACTTTTAAATAAAAAGGTCATAGGGAGAGTTGAGAAAAGATTCTGCTACAATTTATGTAGGAGTGGGTAGTTTTCACCTTTCTTGAACCCCTTCGGTTTTTTTTGTAAAAGTCAAATATTAGAACGTCTAACAGAACGTGCGTTCCAAATTTCATTCAAATTCGACTATCGGTTTTTAACATATCTTAAAGAAATGTGTTTTAAAAAGAAAACTTTGACGTCGTCTAACGGGGAAAGAAAGCACTTTTGCATAGAGGTAAATAACTCCAATCGCCTTATTTTGAGTCTAAAAATACGTGGTACTTCTATGTACACAGAATATTAGAGCACCCTGTATATCACCGCATCGGTACCCAGTACTCGACATCCCAATCTCACCGAGTACCGAGTACTCGGGTTTTGAAAAAAGTAGTACTAGTACGGTTGATATAATGTACTTTTATGTATATCTAAACCAGAGTTCCCCAAACTTTTTTGTGTCGTAGACCCCTTGCCATGTTTTTCCGTGTTGGGTAGACCGCCTACTTACCTGATATTGATTTCCTGTAAATTTCTAACTGTAGTGAAGTTTAGTGTTAAAAACTTAAAGTAAAAACACATGTTAATTTATACATTTATTAATTGAATTTAAATTAAAACTACTCAAAATGAAATTTTGTATCTGTTATGTAAAATATACGTAACATTAAATCAACAGGTGTCTGAGCAATAAGTTCCCGCATTGGGAATAAGTTCCCGCATTGAAAAAAAATAAGAGGGATAAAATAAAAAAAAGTGAAAATTGATAAACAAAAGTTTTTTACTTAAAATAGTACAATAAGCGAGTTCGTTTATTAATTATAACATAAACGTATGTTCTACAATAATTTCACTGTTAGTTTGATTAAATTCCGCTTCTTATACGTTTAAGTTATCTAAAAATAGGCAAAAAATTAACGAATTTTAGTGTGTACGTATCCTTGAATTTTCAGAATAATTTAAAAAAAAATATTTCCTATAAAGGGGGGTTCTTTAGAAAAATCAATGCGGGCACTTATTCCCAATGTGGGCGTTTATTGGTCAGACACCAATAAACATATAATAAACTATAAATAAAATAACATAAGCAATAAGTCAATATTTTTAGTGAGAAGGATGAACCTGATGCTTTAATAATAAATTATCAACATTTGGCGTCAATTCTGTAAGGGTTAATCTTAAATCTCCTCGGCTAATGATGTCCAGTCTGTTTCTTTTTTTCGTTAGGAGATTGGTAACAGCGCTGAACCCCCTTTCCACTAGGTATGACGATGGAAAGGAAATTAAACATTTCTTCGCTATATTCCATAATACGGGATAAGTAACGGGTATGTTGTTTTGCAGTCAGAATTGCTGATATCCGTTTTTAAACTGAACCTTAAGTTCTTCGTTTGTACTTAGTTCAGTCAGTTCCTCTTGTATTATGACATTCGTTTCTTCTATGTCACCATATGGATTAATTATCCACGGTGGTATTACCATAGTCAAAATATCCTCAAACCTAGATTCAAAATCTGAATAGAGGGCATTTAAATGTTGAACGTAAGTTGAAACGGTGTCTTCCTGGCAGCTTGTCTGTGACAAATTGGGGAACTGAGAAAATATTTTGCTTCATTAGTTTAACTCTGGCAAGAAACGCTGATAAGATGGACTTTGTTTTAATCAAATTTAAACTATCGCCTTGTAATTGCAAATTAACTATATTAAATTTTGTAAACAAATCTGTTACATAGGCGATGTCTGTTTTCCTCTTCATTAAATTTTCTTTTAAAATTTTATCTTTAGTATCCAGAAATTCTAAAATAGCCTCAAAAAGTGCAAAAAATCTTGTCAAACATAAGCCTTTCGACAGCCAGCGTACTTCAGTGTGAAGGAGTAATTGATGAAAGTGTTCGTCATTTTCACACAACTGCGCAAATAACCGCGTATTCAACGCGTTGCTTCGGATTCGGTTTACTGCATCAATGACTAAATGAAGTGATTCATGCAATCTAACACTCAAATTTTTAGCAACTAAATGTTGTCGATGGATGACGCAATGTATTGCTAACACCCCTGACACATTTTGTTTTAAATAGCTTATAAATCCACGATAACGCCCAACCATGGCAGGTGCTCCATCTGTAGCTAATGATATTATATTTGATAAAGGAATTGCTTTTTCAATGAAGTAATCCTTCAAAACATGAAATATTGATTCACGTTTAGTGTCGGTTATCAAAGTTCTTGCGAAGAGCAGTTCTTCGTAGATTTCTTGATTCATAATAAAACGAACATATGCCAATATTAATGCTGTATTATCAGGTAAAGTTGACTCGTCCAGTTGTGTAGAGAAATGGGTCGTTTGCAAATTACATAAGAAGCTTTCAATATCAGAACTCATTTCATCAATACGTCTTTCAACAGTATTGTTGCTTAAGGGAATTCTTTTAATGATATCAGATGCAGGTTTGTGTAAAACAGTTTTTAAAACCTCTTCAACGGCTGGCAAAATTAACTTCTCTCCGATAGTATGCGGTTTTCCGGATTTTGCTATAAGTAACGAGATATTGTAAGACGCCCGCAAACCATCATCATTTTTTGTGACGTCGAAGCGAACATTCTGTCCAGTGTAGGTCTCTTCAGAAATTTATCTTTGAGTGTTTGAAAGTATTTCAAATCTTTCTCTGTTTTATCAGGGTGGCATCTTCTCAGATGATCTTGCAGTTTAGATGGTTTCATAGCGTCATTACCCAAAACTTTGTTGCATAAAAGGCACATAGGCGATTGTTTGTCCGGCAATGATGGAATGAAGCCAAATTTCAAATAATCAACACTGTACTGTCTACATTTCTTTTTAGATTCGGACATGGCACCAGTTATCTGTGGGCAAAATTAAATTATTTAAATAAGACGGAAAATCCAGCAGCTGTATATTAAAAATATTTTTGGATTTTTCCGAAAACATTCCATAATTCGAACATCTTCTTGCAACAATTAGCTCGAATTACGGATGTGTTATTATATTACCGATTGCTAAAACTTTCAAAAAGAAACTATTGAGGAGTACTCGTGTAATTTTGCATGATTGAATATTTAACTACTAATAACTAAAGTCATGATTGGCGTAATTTATCTATCTTTGCTACGAGTACAAAACTAAAATTTAATAAAAAATAACGTACTTACTTTTCTCCAGCACTCTCAAACAAAATAACACTGACTCACCATAATTTGTGTGATATACTATCTGTTTATATTTTTTTAAATATTTCCTTAGCACTTTCCTTTACAAGATTCAGGAAACGAATAAACGTATTTGTCCCACATTCGTATTTATAGAGTGACGAATTGAACAAGTCAGTGCAAGGTAGCGAAGCTCTGAGACTGCGACTCTCAGGTTTTTACAAGTTCAAAATGTATTGCGACCACAAAGCGAATACCAACATCCTACAACTTACACTATTTTATAAACATATATAATACATTTTTTACTTCATAGGTACTTTTATAAATAATGTATATGTTTTGATATTATAAGATAGTATGATGTAAGTAAATAGGTACTATCAGTGTATGTGTTGAGATCCACTATCGTGGACCCCCATATTCATTTCATGGACCCCCAAATTTTTTTTCGCTGACGTAGACCCCTTGCAGGTTGTCATAGATCCCTAGGGGTCGATATAGACCACTTTGGGAATCAATGATTTAAACATTACCTCGGGTATACATAACAAGCGTTTGTGACTCCTGTCGTTCTAGAGGCCACGATGCCTACCCTTCACTGCTATTGGCTTCTAATTTCAGGCAAAGGGCCATAAATGCTCACGTTACACCCCAATTAGTAGTAGTAGGGTTGGGCAGGCGACACCTGACAGCTACGCCACCTTTGATCCTTTTTGCGATAGTTAAATAAATAACTACTTTTGTAGGACGGAAAACTAGAATTTTCTCTCCCAGTCGACGATTTCTCAGAAACAGAAGACTCGAGCGGCAGTAAAGAAGACAAAGTCGTTTCTCCGATGCCCGGCGTTTTGGACAAAGTTTTGGTGAAACCGGGAGACGAAGTGAAAGAAGGTGATGCTCTTTTTGTACTGATCGCGATGAAGATGGAGTACGTTGTCAAAGCGAATAGAGATGTAAAGATTGAAAGCGTGTTTTATAAACCTGGCGATAATGTTGCAAAAGATGCTGTTATAGTGAAATTTGAAGCTGAGAAAGAAAATGTATGAATATAATAAAATGTTTATTAAATCAATTTTTTATAAGATGGGAGAGAGTATTTTTTAAAACCTTGCAGTTGAATATCAAATCAAAAACCCAAAATTTCTGGCAGACGCAACTTTCTTCAAATGTCTCTCATGGGGTCCTGGGCGCAACTCAGATCAATTTCTCTCAATATTTCGTAAATTCGTCGCCTTAATTATTCTTCATCTTGGACCTTCAAGCTTCCATGATAAACCTTCCTAGACAGTGAAGCTCAAAAGTCCTGTATTGGGCTTGTTGGATTATCGTTCTTGGGAACAAAAGGTATGCTGTTTCCGAAGCCATTTTGTAAGTAAACATACTTTTGTTTCCAAATGCAACTTGATATTATTTTGTGTTTGTTAAAATTAAAGCCAATGCTTACGACATACCTCATTACAAGGTTTTTTTAACTTTATTTCATGGTCCATTTTGAAATAATATCATGGAACAATAGATTCGGTTCTTTGGTTTGCTAGTTATACTTATCAAGTTAGCTTCATCCTACAAAGTCGCTAAAAATTTATTTATCCGATTTTTAAACTTCCACGTCCTTGTTATATCAGAATGCTACTTAAGTATTTAAAGCCTTGATAGGTATGTAGGATTCAGATCTTCAGGAAGCCCGAGGACGCACCTACACCTAAATCCTTATTTAAATTCTTGTGCGACATGAGCTTTTTGAAGATAACTTTGAAACTACTTTCAGGTGACCTTGAAGTAGGTATCGGGCAACACAGAAACCTATAAAAAATATTATTTTCATTTTTTCTCAGTGGTTTGACCTTGAAACGACCTTGAAATATCTAAACGATGGTGATCTTGAGGAAGAAACGAATGGCATTCTTTCTCAGCGGTTATATCTATAGGAGCTTAAGGATTCAAAATAAAAAGGCTGCTTTGTGCTGTCTATTATTTTATTAACACTATTACGAGATGCTAGATCACTTTACAGCTCTAAATAAAATGCAAGTCCAGCTTGTATCCATTTATCCTTGTCTTTCCTGTCGATAGGCACTTGGAAAAACGCCAATTTTTGCTGTTTGTCTGACGTCGTGTATAAGGGCACTTCTATCTTATCTGTCTCCTCGATAGATAGCTGAAGACAGATAATAAAACAATATGAAAATTGGCGTCAGGTAGACTGATTTCCTACGCAACGCCGTTAACAGTTCATAACGCGTCAGACCATCCGAGAGAAAAGTCAGTCAAACAGACCCATACAGTTAGGCTTTAGACGTTATTTCCCTGCCTTACCGGTATTGCATGTGGAAACGTCGCTTCTTCCCGAAACTTATTCCCGTTAGTCGTGACAGCGCGGTCAGAACATAGGAAACACTAATCAAATCCAAGCGAATAACCAAAATTTCTGTGTTATGTGCCGCGGTTATAATATGGTTCAAGATGACACACGGGTTGATGACGTCAGTTACACGAATCGCTTGAACGCGTTGGTTTTAACCGCGATTTTGTTGCAAGTTGTTTATTTTAGAAAAGCGCGTATATAATCTCTGATTATTCTTATTATCACTTAATAATCGGTGCTTTTTCGTCTACAACTGTATATGGAAAGTTTAAATAAGAAACCTTTCATAATATTCATGGGAGAAATGTTTTTTCAGATTTTTTTTTTAATGATGGAACCATGGCTTTGTAGCTATGATAACTTTCAGTTCTCTAAATTTTTCCGCATGTCAAAGAAAACATTTATTGATTCAGCAGAAATGATGAAAAAAGAAATTAGCAAAACCGTATACAGGTGGATATCATCTAGTGAGTTTATATGGCCATATTTTAATATTCTTGTGGTATATGGCTACACAGGATACTTTATTAAGCATAGGAACTACATTTAAAGTGTCCCCAACAACCGTAATGAGTATAACTAATAAGGTGCTCCACTTTATGGTAAAACTGAAGTCAGCCTGTATCATTTTTCCCAAAAATGAAGCTGAAGTACAATAACAATATCCAATACCCGGCAAAATTCTAACTTGTCACATTTCAAATAATAACCAGAAATATAAAACTACTCTTGAGTTGGGTAAATACCACAATTTTGCGGTGATAACTATGACATATAACAGCTGATTCGTGACGTCACGGATCTTATAACCAAACTGATAACTACACTCGCTTGAACGGATTGGTAAATACCAACCCAAAATGGTAAATACCATTTCCATTTGGTTATCCGCTTGAATTTGATTACTGTGTTGTGGCGCGGCAGAAATATCGCGCCGGGAGCCGCAGCCGCCAGAAAAACATCACAAACTGCAGAATAAAAATTGAACGTAACAGCGAAATGGGTACATTTCACGGGTCATGAAATTCAAATGAAAATGCAGGTATACAATCTACCAAATTATCGTTCTCAAAAACATATTTCCTTGACATATCGATAATTTTAAAGTTGCACGCTAAATTCCCCTATACTTGACTGGAGTGATATCCGAATTCATTCTTCCCTACTGTCGATAGTTGCAGATCGATCTGTTGGCTCTTGGTGTCAAACCTATAGAGCAGGTACCGATTTTTTCAAATCGTGAGCACATTATTCGTCGGATTTTCGTTACTTAAATTTCCTGTAATCAATGGGATCAGAAGCTTCTTAATAATAGAACGTGTTTCACTGATATCAAAGATGCAACATTTAGAATCACCTCCCCCAACCCCCACTTTTTAAGCAGTACCATTTTTTTCTGTCAATGATAAGGAACCCCTGTAACGTCAAAAACGGAGTTTCAGCAATTGTTACTTTTTCTTTTTTGCCTATAGCACCGTTGCCACTGGACTAAAACTACAAAGCTTTGCCATACTAGTACCCCCTGTGGAAAATTCATAAAAATCCGAGCGGTTATTTCCAAGTTGATGAGTGATACAGTTTTTCGTGATGTAGATGTCATATGACTTAAATAAACATAATATCTAATATAATATAATTTCGCGATTACAATGCTGGTTGGATAACAATTTACTTAAACTTAATATCTCTAAAACTAAGTATGTAACGTTTTCTCCAACCAAAGTAGGCATGCCATTACAACACCGAACATTAATTATAAATGATAGTGCTGACACTGTCGAAAGAGTTGAAGTTATTGTTATTAGATACTTAGGAATCACTGTTGACAGTAATTTAAAATGGCAGAGTCATGCCGAGCTTTTGGCATCGAAATTAAGGAGAATTATTCATAAGTTTTTCATTCTTAGGAATATTTTAAGCAGAAAGAGTCTTCTCTCAATATATAACTCTTTTGTGGGGTATCTACTAACTTACGGGATAAGTATTTGGGGAGCCGCATAGACTAGTACTTTAAAAATACTACAAACCACGCAAAATTATATCGTCAGGACTATTTTTCGTATCCCATGTAGGTCAAGTTGCAGATTTGTTTACATTGAAAATGATCTTTTGAATGTTAGAGGTTTATATATTTTTGCTGCTCTAAAATTTGTTCACTCCCGAAACAATGTTCCAACCAGCCACGCTTATGAAACAAGAACTAAAATAAATATAAGTTACACCTATACCAGAGTGAATAAATCTGTTTGCCAAAAATGCATAAAGTTTGATGGTATTAGGTTGTATAATAAATTACCCCTAGAATATAAAATCCTCTCGAAGTATAGTTTCAAAAAAAGAATTAAGAAGTTCATCTTAAATAACTTTGACATGCTTGCATCGAACGTAGCTTGACTCAACTCAGTAATTTCGTTTCTATCTAATGTTTTTTTTATTTCTTTTTTTTTATATACATTTGCTCATAATATACCTTATAACCAATAGCCATGCATTGAATTTGTATATTGTATGACACACACAAGCTTATAGCTTAGGTGTCTATTCTTTTGTAGTAAATTCTTTTGTAGTAAATTGTAGTACTCTTGTTTCTCTGCTTAATCTTTACGCAAAAATTTTATTGTTTGAACAACATAGTTTGACCTTGCTCGAAATATCCCTATATTATCATATTTCAGATATTCATATTTTATGTACTCTATATTTATACTTCTGAGTGTTTTTTAGTATGCTTCTGTACTATTGTTATGAATTTTAGATTTGTTTATGCAGACACGTAATTTAGGATTTGTGACGACAAGATTCAGACATTTACCATTTACGAAAGTATACAGAATTTTCACAATTCATATACCGTTACTTGCTGGTTCTAGATCTGATGCTAGCATCTTTGCTCAGATTTCTGTTGCAATCTTGATTATTCACGGTAGCAAGAGTATACAAGCTCATGTATTTTTGAAGCTTTTTTTATTTAAATTGTACTGAAGGTTGTTTTTTTTTGTAATTTGTAAGTTATATTGGTTTTTGAATTTGAATTTGAACTTTGAACAATACTTCCTCGCGAATGACGTGGGAAGTAAAACGGCTTTAAAATCGAGGAGTATCAGCGATCGTGATTATGAGTACCTATTTGCAGAACGACTTATCTACGCGATGTTATGAAACAGGACCACCAAATTATCAGAATACGTCCTTTCTTAGTCCGTACATGGCGCCGCAACGCTTGGGTTGGCAGCACGAAACAGTAGACAAAATTCGTCCAAAATACGATTTGTAGAAGTTTGCACGCTTCGAAATTGACGCTTTATTTTTTGATATTTTTGGATGAAATTTTCACAGAGTGCCGAAAACAAAACCCCACAGGGTGCTATAGAGCCACTTTTTCATTTTTTTCAGTAGGTACTTTTTAAAAAAATCGCGAATTTGAATAGAAAAAGTGCGCACTTCAACCCGTCATAAAACTTGTGCAAAAACAAAATTTCAAAAAGTGCTCCTATAGCACCCTGGGCAATTATCTTCTCAACATACTGTATAAATTTCATTCAAAAATATTGAAAAATGGAGTGTCAGTTTTGAAGCAGCTGAACCCTTGTAAATGGCTTGAAACTCACTGCGTCGGAGCCGCCTTAAGGGCTAGTCTACGGAGAATTCTATGATGTGTGAAATATGTCTAACCCCCCACCCCCTACAACCCTCACCCTAGAGTTCTTTTATCTCTAAAATTCGTTTCAAAAATGATCTGAATCCTCTGAAACGTAAAAAACGAAATTTGAGGGATTTTTATTCCATTTCCAGTTTAAAGAGAAATTGAAGAAATATTTCAGGGAATACGAGAATCCATAGTAGTGAAATTTTATATACAAATATGTAGACTTGAAGACAATATATTACTTCATATACTGTGTAATATTGATATTGTAGCATTGATGCTAAAGGAATCTATAAAAAACAAACAAACAAGCTGATTTCTAAATTCATACTACTACTATCTCCTAGATGTCGCTTTTTGGGCACCTGTTAACAGTCTTTGCTCTACTATTTTCAAGTAAAATCAGTTAGGCTGAATTTTGAACGTCGCTGTCTAAAAATATTGGGTTGTCCAAAAAGGACGCAGGAAAGTAAACGCATATTAAAACAAGAAAGATTGATATTCAAATCAAGTTGGGTAATTTATTTTGAAGGTTCATTTATACCATTTATGTATGGAAAATAATATCGCTCAAATGTTCACCACGACTGGATTTACAGACGTCCACGCGATGGTTGAAATTTTCAATGACATTTTGCAACATGGTCGGTTCTATGGCATTTATCTCGGCAATGATGTTGTTTTTGAGTTCTTGGAGGGTGGCTGGTTTGTTGACGTAGGCTTTGCTTTTCAAATATCCCCATAAAAAGAAGTCCAAGGGAGTCAAATCGCACGATCTTGGTGGCCATGGCACATTTCCTCTGCGCGAAATCACGCGATCACCGAAGAAGGACTGCAATCGATGGATATTGACGTTGGTTGTGTGGCATGTTGCACCGTCTTGTTGGAAATAAACATCGTCCATATCCATTCCTTCAAGTTGCGGCAAAAAATAGTCCTCTATCATCACGAGATATCGCTCAGAACTGACGGTAACGGCGTCCCCGACCGCATTTTCGAAAAAGTAAGGTCCGATGATGCCTTTTGACCACAATGCACATCACACAGTCACTTTTTGAGGATGCATCGGCTGCTCTTGATACTCACGGGGATTTTCGTTCGCCCAGATGCGGCAGTTTTGCTTGTTTACCGTCCCATTCAAAGTGAAATGCGCTTCGTTGCTGAACATGATTTTTGATTAAAAATTGGCATCAATTTGGCGGTGTTCAAGGAGCTAATCTGAGAACGTTCGGCGCGAAAAATGGTCGGCCCGACGCAGCTCTTGCGTCAATTGGATCTTGTAGGCGTGTACATTCAAATCCTTGTGGAGAATGCGGAGCAAACTGGTTCTCGAAATGCCCAATTCTTGGGATCGACGCGTCGTTGATTGTTTCGGATCGTCTCTCACACTCTCCTTCACAACAGCAATATTTTCCGGTGTGCGAACGCTCCTTGGCCGGCCAGAGCCTGGCAGATTTGCCACAGAACCTGTTGCCTCGAATTTGCGCACCAGACGACCGATGGTTGTTTCGTTTGGACGGTTGTTGCGACCGAAATGTTCACGAAGCACGCGAAACGTGTTTTTTATTTTTGCACCATTTTTGTAGTGCTCTTGAATAACTTTAATGTGGTCTTCAATCGAATACGACTCCATAGCGATCAATGGTAAACATTCAACTAACAAAATAACATGTCGGTGACAGAAAACAAAGATGGCGTCTATGTCAAATTGACGTTTACTTTCCTGCGTCCCTATTGGACAACCCTTTACAAATAGAGTTGTTGCCAGTTTAAAAAAATCCGTCATGCGGACATACCTTCGTTGTCCAGCTGATATAACACCTCGATACACTGGTAGTGCTCTCAGAATCGGGCCTGCATTTCTTCAGCATCCCATTTTCCAATATCCCTCCCTCCACAACCATATCCCTCAATATCAGACATTCCTGTTCAACTTGTCTCCAATTTGCCTCCAAGAACAACTCGTCAAGAGTGACGCCTCTGGAGCGAGCAAAAGTCTGCTTGTGAGCTGCTAGGAAAGCTTCAGGTCGGAATAGGGATGAAAGAGCTAAGGGTTTTTGAAGGAGGGTTTCGATGGGCTCGTTTTTCCATTTGGATATTTCTTCGGTTTTGGTTAGTACGGAACGCATGAAGCGAGTCGGTTCTTTGGGACCGTTCCACAGGCTCAGCCAGCGTTTTGGAGTCTGCAAGGGAATCAAGGTGTGAAGTATACTTCGAAAAATAAAAGTGTCTTTAAAGTTGGGCATTCCTTTAGCAAATTGTAGGTTTATTTAGGATTCCATTGTCTAGCCAAATCAAAACCACATACAGGGAAAAACAAATTTGGCTGACGGCTTGAGTTCAGTGTGTACGAGAGAGAAGCTCGAGAAGTGTGTATCAACACATGTTAGAAAGAGATAGAAGACGGCTGAAGAGTAAAGGTTATCACTACATTGCCTAGCGACGGTGACGCAGAAGGTCGTGCAATCTGCAGCGTTGCAAATATGTTACACCAGAAAATGTTCGCACAAGGAGCTACAATGGGTTGAGTTACTGAAAAACCCAAAAAGGAGGTCTGTTCAAATATTTGATGTAATATTCAGTTTTCATTTTGATTAGAACTATTTATTTCATTTTTTATGCGACTTAGTAATTTAATGTATCTTAGAATTATCATTGATTTCCACGGATGGTAATAAAATCAATACATCCTAAGCTATTGTTACATTTTGCGACAGCGCTGAGGTCGAAATATGCAATACAATTTATCACTGCCTGCGCGTACGCAGCTGAAAACCATTTGGAAGCAGGACGACACTCCCCAATGAGCGCTAGATGGGTACTGGCCGAAATCGCTCATCTATGATCATTGAGGTGGAAACCTTGCCTTGGAATTTAACAAATGCGGTGTTGCCAAGCGAACCAATGATGCAATGTTGTTAATTTGCGGCGATCCTGGCCTTCCATTTCTACGTAAAATGGAGCGCCGTTAGGACCGATCCGGAATCGATTCTAAACAGATTCGACACAATGCACAATTGAGAAATGCGTACACTCAAAATGAGATTATTATTTGGGCATAGAGAATAAACTAACGCATATTTTCAACATGCATCTTGAGTCAAAGAATTGGTGTAACATATTGGCAACGCGGTAGATTGTCGCGTCAGCGCTGCTAGGCAACGCGGTGATGAGCTTCGCTATCCAGCCGGCTTCTATCTCTTTCTAGCATATATATATACACTTGTATCTTGTACACATTGAACTCAAGCCGTCAGACAAGTTTGTTTCTCCGTGTGTAAGTTTAGACCACCACTGTTATCGAAAAGTCACCGTCGTACAATAAATTGAAATCTAAGCATACATACATTTTTGAGCAAACATGAAAGGATATTAAAAATCTGTTTTTGTGGCAACCTTGATATGTTACTAATGCACATTTTAAAATTATTTTGATATATACAGGGTGTTCCATAACTTTAAGCCATAGCAAACATATTTGTTTTTAAATAACTGTACTTTATTGCATATTTGAATAGAGGTTCTAAAAACACGAAGTTTGATGATATATAACAATGATATATAACAACGATTGTCAATTGTTCAGATATTAGACCAAACGTTTGAAAAAATGTCCAGCTTTGACAGTTGGCAGCTCCGCCATTTTTGAAGTTATTAAGATAAATCTTAACTCAAAAAAATTTTACTATCACCGAGTTCAAGCTGATCTGGATTTCTGAAAGTTCTTTCAATTCATACAGGGTAAAAACGCAAAATGTACCTTTTCGGAAAAATTTCAAATGAACACCCTACATCATTAAATAGTTTTTATGGTGAACATTATTTTTGATTATAAGGTATATACAGCGCCTTCGAAAAATAGAGGACATATTTTAGAGAGTGAAAAAGTATGAAAAAAAGTATCTATAAACATGGGTCCGGACATGCAGAGTTTTGAAGGTACAGGGTGATAAATTTAAAAAGTTAAAACTATTGGAAAGGTTGTAATAACACTCTGTCCTGGAAATTTTTTGTTTTCCAAGGCACTTGTGATTTTTTTATCAATAATCAATAAGCCAATTTTGTCCAGTGACATGCAACAAAACGGATTTTATTAAAAAATAGAAGAGGCAAAAAAGTTGTATTTTTAGATGCTTAATTAAACCACAAATAATAAAGTTACAAAAAAGCCAGTGACGTACATTCTTTTGCCAATCATATTCGTTAATAATGACAAATAATATTGCCAAATTTAAAAAGAATCGAGTAAATATATATTTTTTAATTACCTCTTAAGTATCTTGAAAACTCTGCATTTCCGGACCCATGTTTATAAAATATTTTTTCATATTTTTCAACAAGGAATCACTATCTAAAATATCCCCGTCTATTTTTCGAACATCCTGTATATGTATATACCACCTTTTCCCAAACAATCTTGAGTTATTGCTAATTATATCAAGAAAAACCAAATACATCTTGTATTTAAACATGAATCAGACCTTTTATCAAAACAATAGCTTTTGATAACACAACAAAAATAATCAATCGCAAGACGCCAGACGCCTATTGAAATTATCTTGCACGTTCAAACGGGCTTGTCCACTTATGATGTTTCATGTCCTCTGGTGATATAGGGTTTTTACATGGCCCCAGAGAAAGAAGTTAAGAGGGGTCAGATCGGGAGATCTCGCTGGCCAATAATTGATCGGCCCCCCTCTCCCTATCCAACTATCAGGGCACCAGCAAATTCCATTGTTGACACAACCCTACTATGTTAATAAGGCGAAATTGGTGTGATAATATACAGGGTGTTAAAAGTTTTCAACAAAAAACATTATACCTAATAGTTTCAGCATAGGTTGGCCACCATGAATTAAAAGACGCTAAGCTGTGAATCGTACACCACTGTAAGCAAGAGTAAAGTAGCAATCTGTTATTAGGGTTCTGTTTTATTAAACATCAGTGATATAATGATCCTTGCAATCAGACACAATAAGGAATAGTGTTACCCAAGTTAATGAAACAACATGTGAAAAGATACTGGACCTGAGATCAAATATCTAGGGATCGACACTACTTGGAACATATTACAACAATTTGATAATGTCTTGGGTTAAGATGAGTCTTGTTGTGCGAAAAAGAATGTCATTGTTTTCACGCAAGATCTGATTTTAATAAGTCTAAACGTGGAATATATATTAATAGCAATAACTCGAAAACTGTTAGTAAATATTGATCATGTGGAATTTGCCTAACAAGCCATTATAATAATAATAATCTTTATTGTCCAACAGTATCCCAATTACAGGACAATAATACATGAGTAACTACATTTAATAAAAAAAAAACAAATGATAGATGTAAAATATAAACAATAATTTAAATATTTAGCGAACAGTCCGAAAGTACAACAGATTACTGAAAAAATAATGATATATGATTTTTGATATTATGTAAAGCGTCGATACGTTTAATCTCTAGTTAAAGTTAAATGCCAGACATATTAAGAAAAAGGCATTTATGTGATTTTTCTGTCCAAGTACAAACGACCAGAATTCAGTATTTTTGAGATATTCTTAACATTTAGAGTAAGATGGGGTATTATGGCAACTTGTTTTTTAATGGACCATAAATCAATACCTTGTCCATTCAGCTTTGCAACGGAACTAACTAGGCTGGCTATACAGTATGAAGTATAGATTAGTGAATCCGTTTTTGGGCTAATTTGATTATAGGTCTAATAGGAAAGAAAACTCGAATAATGACAAATTGCCATATTTCTCCAGCTTTAGGATATTATGGCATGGGACACTGGGAAATATGGCAACATGTGATTCTCATAAGGATTCATGTAATTTATGGAAAAAATATAAACAAATATATTTTTAAAGAAATATTCATTAACATATCAATAAATAAACCTAATCTCTACTAATTTTTCCAGTTTCTCTTGGTCGATACCAAGAGAAATCACGACTCCCTAAAGTGAATTCATTTATATCACTTTTCGGTACAATTCATTTCAAGAATACTGCATTTCTTGGTTACATCCACTTTTTGCCACTTTCTCTCACAATTTCTACTCGCTCAAACTCAAGAATAGAGGTCCTGATCGGGAATATAACTTTCACAGTAGTAAAACGATTGGTAACCAAGTAATGCAAAAATCGAATAACTGTAAAGTTTTTATTTTTCCCTGCACAGGAGTCACAGAAAATGGCAAGTTCTCTTACTTCCATAGGCAGGATGTTGTAAAAAAGGTGATTCAGCATAGAACAGCAATATATTCATAATAGGCATAAAACATAGAATTTGAGTTTGACAGAATGTGGATGTTAAAACTGATAAAATTTAGTTGCCGCTTATAGTAAACATCATTTGTCCTGATATTTGGACAAGTTTTTTTGGTAATCCATCGTGATACTTTCGATAGCGGGAAACTTCGAGGCAAGTTTGCAAAATCGCTCACTCCTTGTTTGATGTAGTGTCTTCTCAATTATCTTTTTCTCCAAATTATTACTTGCTGACTGCCTAGTTTGTTCAGTGTGAGAAGTTTGCGGTAAGTGAAGATATATCAGCTTTTAAGGAGTCACACATACTACAATTATCTTTTCGTGGATAACCGAAGATACATTGAAGTTGTTTTCAAAGACTTTTCGGAAGGATTCATAGGAAATCTTGTTTTCTACTTTGCCAGTATAATTTTGTGATATTTAGATTTTCAGGTAGGTAAACGTTTTGCGAATCTGCCAAAGAATAATGAGATTTGCGGCATTTGAGACTCTTAATAAACTCGGTCACTTTATGTTTTGTGTTTTCTGAAAGTTTGTGTTGTGTTTTCCACGCATGTCGATGGGCGATTTCCCAGTTGCAACTAATGGGTCGACGAAGTGTAATTTCGTGTAAAGACAAAAAAGCCTTAAGACAAACTGGAACATCACGTAACATATAATTCCATTTTCAAAGAATCGGACACAACTAAATGAAGCGTTATTAAAAGCCTTTGACTCTGCTTCATTTTTTCGAGTGCGTCTACGGATGTCAGAAAGAACAGTGATAAGACCACTAAGATAAGAGTTTTGTGCATTAGTGTTTCCTAGTCCATTAAATTCACGAAGAAGTCTACAGCGTTCAGGTTCAGGAAAATAACGAAAACGTTCACAAAAACAATCAGATCCAAGTTCGTGGGTAGTGACGCGCAACGTTTTCATTACGTCTCTTTGTCTTCCTGTTTCCATATGGACTGATGCCGTTTTTCCATACACGCGCAGGGACTCATGCCATTCTTTCCCGGCACAGGAAATCTTATAGCTGTTGTGTTGTGAACCTAGGCCCTTTTTACAATTTAAGAAGCTGATTACAAGATAGCATCAGGAAAATGCCACTAAAATAAACTGAAAGCTCAATTTTGCCAAATAATGGACTAATGCCGTTGTTCCCTGGTACCCTTCAATTGCTTTCACATCGCCAAAGTGTTATCACAAAATAATTTGAAGAATGCACTTACCTCGTATTTTCGCAATGTTTCCCAAACATTGTTAAATACTCGTCTTTCGATGATTTTAGCGAAGAAAACAGCAGAACAACGTCCACTCGCCTACTCCGATGCACTCTACCGATTTATAATGGAAATGTTGTTCTGCGGTGTATTACCCAAGATGCCATATTACCCCACTTTACGCTACATAATATAACAATCAGCAGAAATTGAATTATTTTCTCATAATAGTTGATACTGGCGACTTCAGAAGCAAATTGGTTTCAGCTCCCTCACAATATAAGGTTATGCTTCCAGTACTCAACACGGCACACAGAACGGCGTCTTACAGTTGATCGTAAATTCAAAACTCTAATCATAAACGTCACTGATGGTGATTCGTGCATTAAATTTATTTTGAGCGCCTTTTAAGTCCTGATTAATGATTAAATCATTGTTTGATAAGATAAAACCATAGCAGCAACCCTCTTTGATCGATTGTTATTCCGTATCTTGAAACTTACCTCGTATTTCAGCAGAGATTTCCCAACAATCGAATCTTTCTCCTCCGGTGTAACACCTCCCTTACAAATCTTTTTTAAATTACTTAGATTTTTATGTATCATATGTATCAAATTCAAGGCATTGTTGAATTCTTCTATCAAAAATATTTTCAACGGAGGATCACTAGCTGTTATGTTTGAGTCTGGAGTCGTCCGTATGAAATCGAGGCCTTGGTTCAACTTCTTCCATAAATTCATAAAAGGTGTCAAGCCTTTTTGCAGGAGATTTTGATCCAGCTTGTTGGATGTCGTGTTACAGAGACTCAAATCTGGAAGTTTTTTGTAGCATTCCGTTATCAAGTAGATGGTAGAAGGTCGGATTGAGAATAAAAGAATGATGTTAAATTTAAATTTAAAAGTCTGCTTACTTTTTAGCTCCGAAACAGCTGATGATGACATTTGTTTCTCCCAAGCTCTATCGATGTTTTGTGGTAGACCAAAAATGGATGGGTCATCCTTAATCGGTATCTGTTTAATGCATTTTACGTATTCCTGAAAAATATATAGCATTTGAAGCACTGGAGGTAACGAAGCAAGTTTTTAACTACAGGGTTTGTCCGGAAAGTTATAGGACTCATTTTCTTCCGCCATGACTGTACTTCGGAGCATGCGCGCACCGACGTATTCGGTAGAGGGCGTTCCTAGCTAACGAATGAGCGGCTGGTCAGTTGTCTCCGAGCACTTGGAAAGTCAGGACAGGCATTTTTGCGCGACGTGTTTCTGTGAGTGGTGCAAGCCGAAAATGCAGCGTTCGTTAGAGCAGAGGTACGCGATTAAATTCTGTGTGAAACTCGGTAAATCTGCGACAGAGACGTTTGATATGATCAAGCAGGCTTACCCAGGTGTTGCTTTAGCAAGAAGTGGTGTGTTTCGGTGGCACCAGGCCTTTTTGGAGAGCAGGGAAGAGGTCGCTGATGAAGACCATCGACTTCGACAAACACCGATAATGTGACTCATGTGCGCAAAGTTTTGAACTCAGACCGTCGACTAAGTATTCGTTTAATTGCCCAGATGTTAAATTTACCAAAATCTGTGGTTCATGACATTGTGACACAGCATTTGAACATGCGCAAGGTGTGCGCGAAGATGGTCCCAAAAGTGCCCACTGACGACCAGAAATTGCGGCGAGTGGAAGTGTGCCAAGAAAATTTGAACATGTGTGCAAGTGACCCCCAATTTTTGAATAACGTAATCACAGGTGACGAGTCCTGGATCTTTGAGTATGATCCCGAGACGATCTTCCGAGTGGCATACGACGGCGTCTCCTCGCCCAAAAAAGGGAAGAATAAGCAAATCCAAAGTGAAAACGATGCTCATTGTCTTTTTTGACATCAAAGGTATCGTCCACCATGAATTTGTTCCACCTGGACCAACCGTCAACGCCAAGTTTTACGTGGAAGTGCTCAGGAGACTCAAACGAAGGGTCAGCCGGGTCCGACAAGACATCGCAGCCGACTGGAAGTTGCACCACGACAACGCCCCGGCTCACACCGCCTTTCTTGTGAACAGCTATACTACAACTATTTAAAACTGTAATGACTCATACGCGTGATCAAGACGTGATCAGAACTCGATCTCGGCTTCCTTCCAGTACAGCCGTATAGCGTACGACATATGTCGTTTCTGTAGCTTTGCGGTGGTCAACAGCACAGACAGAGATGGAAATAATGGCTGATTGTTCTCCGCCGGTAGAACCAATGAAATCAAAGACGCGCCTAGACCGGCAGACTCATAGGCGTCGGCAACGCATTGGAACGTGTTTCGTTGAGCGATCGCATATTGTGTATTTCTATAAGAATTGTTGTGTGATTGTTATTGTTGTGGTTTCTGTGGTTACTGTTTTGGTTATACTTAACCATGGAGAGTACAAATGGCACGAGTGGAAGTACTGAAAGCCAGGGAACAAGTAGACGGCTTCGTAAAGCACTGAAGAGGAACGCGAAAGAAATCGTGCTCAACGTGTTCAATTATCTGAACTGAACTATGTCGCAGGGAGATGCACTCGCGCGTTGTGAAAGTATGACAGGCGTTCCAGAGTGGACCATTCGCAAGGTGGTGCATGAAAAGAAGAAAACTGGAGCTACTACTGATCCAAAGTTTAATTTGAAGGGACGAAAGGCCGTTAAATTGGATGACGATAGCAAAATGGCGTTAAGGCGAACCGTACATTCATTCTTCTTTAGGAATGAGATACCAACCCTCAAGGCTGTACATGCAGCGATCAAGGAAAATGAAATTATACCCCAAATGAGCGTCGAGGTAATGAGGAAATCCCTGCACGAAATTAATTTTCGTTACGAAACGCGTAATCGGAAGGCAGTATTGATAGAGAGACCTGAAATAGTCGCCTGGTGTCGAAAATACCTACGCGAAATGATTGAATATAGGCGACAAAGCAGAAAAATCTATTATTTGGACGAGTCATGGGTAAATGCAGGTCACACAGTTAAAAAAAACCTGTATAGACAAAAACGTAGTGAGTAACCGACAAGCAAGCATTGAAGGTTTGTCAACAGGTCTTCGTGGACCGTCAGGGAAATGTCAAAGATTGAGCGTAACTCATATTGGTAGCGACAGTGGCTTTTTAGAAGAGTGTGACTTGATTTTCGTCTCTAAGAAAGGAGGTGATTACCATGACGAAATGAATGCCAGCTGCTTCGAGAGCTGGTTTCAAGGGGTGCTTCAGCGAGTTGAGCCCAACTCTGTGATCGTCATGGATAATGCTTCCTACCATAGTCGTCGAGCCGAACGTGTACCGACTATGGGATCTCGAAAAAGTGACATGCAGCAATGGTTGCGCGAAAAAGGAATCCCGTTTGACGATCCATGTGTGAAAGCGGAATTGTATGAAAAAATTAAACAGCACAAACCTGCGAACATTAGTTACGTGACTGATGAGATGGCCGTCAATGTGGTGTCACTGTGCTGCGGTTACCGCCCTACCACTGTGAACTGAACCCAATAGAGCTCATCTGGGCTCAAGTGAAGGGTTATATTGCGCGCCATAACACAACCTTCAAATTACCAGACGTTAAGGTTTTACTTGAGACTTCCATACAGCTAGTAACGCCCGAAGCTTGGCAGAATGCTATCCGTCATGTTGTGAAGGAAGAAACAAAAATGTGGCAGCTTGACCACCACATCGACACCATCATAGAGCCAGTTATAGTCAATTTCAACGAGGAAAGCGATAGCGACAGTTTATTACTGTCAGATGTAAGTGGAAGTGACGATGAATAAAGGTAATTCCCAAATTTTTGACTTACAATATGTTTCAAACCACTCTTTATTAAGCATGTGACAAATCTAGTTCACCCATGTTAAACATTCATACCCCGCCTATGAACAGCCGACTACTGGTAGTTAAGTGATGTTCACGTGAACATCGATGAGTCATTACAGTTTTAGATAGTTATATACCTGACCAAGGCCGGCATCCCAACGCTTCCGCAGCCGCCCTACAGCCCAGATGTGCCCCCCCCCGGACTTTTTTTTGTTTCCTCGCCTGAAAAGGCCGATGAAAGGCAAGCATTTTGAGACGACAGAGGGGATCCAAGCAGCATGCACCGCGGCTCTCAAGGCTATTCCGGAGAATGCCTTCCGTGACGCCTTCAATGCTTGGAAATCGCGCTGGCAGCGCTGTACCGACGCAAAAGGAGCCTATATTGAGAGTTTTTAAAGCGTTGTAACGATTGGCTCAATAAATTTTTTTAAATCGACTCAGTCCTATTACTTTCCGGACAAACCCTGTATACATACTTCGAATTTTGCCATATTTGGTAGAGTGATATCATAGTCAAACAGCTTCCATCGATGGCTCAATATTTCGTCACTAAAATACTGCCTAGTGTAAGCTTCTAGAATATCCATATCGTCTATATTTTCTATTTTTCCACCATATACAGCGTATGAAAATAGGCCAGAAATAAAATTCCACTGAATCTGCATCGATTGGTTATTCCATAATTCTTCTATCAATTTGATGCTTGTGGAAAGATCTGTGTCGCTGAAATCGTATGGCTTAGACCATCCTATGAAACACGGAAAAAACGTTTGGTTACAACAAATCTCAAGAATTTTAAAAAATGAGTAAAATACAGCAGACGCTCGATAACGTAAACACGGGATAATGAAAACTTGCGCAAATGTGAACTTAAACTTCGTTCTATGGGATCAAACGGAACGCTCGATAACGACAAACCCGGTCAGTCGAATGATCGTTTAGGATACGTTTATACGTACGTATGTATTTCATTTTTGAACTTAAGTGAATACATTGCACGCGTTAATATATTTTACGACTATGGCATCCACATTCTATAAAAGAAAGTGTTTGAAGTTGAGTGAGAAAGTGAAAATCATAGACGAAGTTGCACTAGGTGCGGGAGTGACACAGTTAGCAAAAAAATATGGAGTATCGAAAGCAACAATATGTAAAATTAAGCGTATGAAAACTCAAATTTTACAAAGAACGTGCAATTCATTTGGAGGTCCGGGAAAAAGAAAAACTTAAAAAAATGCGAAGGCACCTAAAATGGAAAATCCCCTGTATAGTATAAGTGGTTTTTAAAACAACGGGAAAATCATGTCCCAATTAGTGGCGAAGTACTTAAACAGAGAGCGAGACTGTTAAATGAAAAACTGAAAGAAACTGAAAATTTCGTAGCTAGTGATGGCTGGCTACAACTATTCAAAACAAGATATGGAATTCGACTGCTGTCTATATCTGGTCAAAAATTATCAGCACAACCACAATTAGTGCAACCATTCAAAGAAAAATTGATGAAAACAATTACCGAGCTAGATTTAAGAATGGAACAAATTTACACCGCAGATGAAAGTGGCCTTTATTGGAAAATGTTACCAGAGAAAACCTATGCTGCATCATTTGAAAAATCTGCCACGGGAAGAAAGCCGGAGAAACAACGAATAACGTTTCTAGCCTGCACTAATGCTAATGGTTCACACAAAATAAAGCCACTGGTAACTGGGAAAGCAAAACATCCGCGCTCATTTAAAAATGTTAATATCCCTGTTGATTATGACTGTTCAAAAACCGCTTGGATGACTAGCAGTATATTTCTGAAATGGTTCCACAGGTGCTTTGTCCCTCAGGTATGACAATCAATTATCACAAATGCTCTATTCATAATTTGAAGATGTGTTTTCAATTTGTAGGTAAAAAGTTTCCTAAAACAACAGAAGCTTCCAATAAAAGCGTTGTTACTATTGGATAATGCACCAAGTCATCCTCCCGAGCAACAACTGAAGAGCAGGGATGGGTCAATTTTCATCATGTACATGCCGCCCAACGTAACATCGTTAATTCAACCGATGAACCAGAATATAATGAGGCTCACCAATCTATACTATAGGAAGTTTCTACTTTCGTCTGTCTTATCAAAGAATCCTGAAAACTTATCTGAGGCTTTAAAAAAAGTAACATTACGAGAAGCTGTTTTAGATTTACATATGGCCTGGAATGAACTTAACCAGCAAACTATTCAAAAATGTTGGAACAATCTCTTTTGTACCAATAATGAAGATGATGAAGAAGACGATGTCCCCTTAAGCGTAATTAGAGAACGTTTGCGATCCAATAATGATAATGTTATTAGTGTGTCGTTGGATGTTGTTGATTTATTGAAAACAGTGAATCCCAACATTGTTTGTACTCCTGCTGATACTAATTTATGGAACGAAGATAAGCAGACGAATGATGCTGATAAGGAGGAGAATATGGACAGTGAGGATGATGAGAACGATCCCATTGAAGTCAGAAGTGTAGTGACTGACGCGCAAGCTATACAAGTTTTTAACCAAGCTTTAGATTGGGCTGAAAGAAAAGAAGTTTCATACACGGATATTTTAGTTCTTCATAAATTACGGGCGCAGGCATTGGAAGACAATGCTAAGCGGAAATTTACGCAGACAAAAATTGTTAATTATTTTTCTTCTAATTAAAAAAATACTTATCGCTGTTAGAATATTTGTTTATTTTGTTATAAATAGTATGTATTAAACGTTTCTTTTAATAAATCAAATATTATATAAATCACGTTCGCTAATGTAAACATTTCGATAATGTGAACCACACTTGGATTAAATTAGTTTACATTATCGAGCGTCTGCTGTAGTTCTTTTTTATTGAAGCATACTTTTCTCCGGCGCATTCACCAACATTTGAAATACTACGCGGGCTTCTTGTCTATGCTATCATTGATGTCACTGTTCAAAATACGCAAATCAATAATCTTAAATCATACCGAATGTTTCAAATTCGACCCTCGCTATTGGGCGCCTGGACTCCGTAAGAGATACGAAGTCGCTTAAATGGTGGCGAAGTTCAAAGTAAAAGACAGAATTTTCCCAAAATCGCTTTTATTTTTTCCTAACTTTGTTTGAGATGAGATTTTGAAATAAAAAGCATAGCGACATCACCATTTTTTCTCCTCTACAAGATGGCGTAAATTAAATTTCAATATGACGTTATCTTGTCCTCAATCATCAACTTTATTTTACGCCATACTGGATTTTTGAACAAGTGAATAGACTTTTTGATTCTGATTTCAAAAATGTATATGTCTTACATTGACCTTGTCAGACCTGTTATTCAAAAAAAAAACTAAAATGTCTTTAACTGACATTAAACAGTTAATTACGAGCCCCTTCCCACTTCAGTTGGCTCACTTCAAGATTTGTGCCAAAATATGCCGTTATAAACTAAACATGACGAAACTATTTACTTCTAAAACAATTTATTTTCTCAAAAACATTTTAGATACACTCTAGTCGTAAAAAATACATATTTGAAATCACTTAGACCTATAACTAATAGAACATCTGAACTAATGAACAATGTGCGAATAAATGCGCGAAGTTAACAAAGCAACAATTGAAAGATTACCATTGGGTAACATCTCCTTTATTTTTTATTACAGCTGAAATTCTTTAGGGCATAGAGTTACCCAAGTTTTGACAAAAATTTGATGTAAAGCAATCCCATATTTCTTGAAGCTTTTGTCTCAGTTCGGTGATTGTACGAGCAGGATTTTGTAGTAGAACCTTTTTCATCTCGTGCCACAAAGTTTCAATAGGTGACAGATCTGGACCGCTAGAAACCCATTTCAAAAGTGGTACATTATTTTATTCCAGCGATTTGCCAAATATTTGTTTGTATCCACATCTCCATCAATAAAATGAAGTTTTCCTACTCCTTTTGATGACACACTGCCCCAGACCATAATGGATGCTGGAAATTTCACTTTTCTCTTCAGACAGTCAACATGGAATGCTTCATTTTTTTTGCGAATAACTCTACTGCGACTGTCACCAACACAAACTTCGAATCGGGCCTCATCACTCCTTTGTATTGCACACCATTGTTTAGGTGTCCATTATCTATGTTCTTTAGCCCATCTAAGCCGATTTTTCTTTTGCAGTGGAGTTAATAGTGGCTTTTCTTTGGCCTATAAACAAGTTGTGCAACTTTAGGGTTTTTACTTCACTTTTTTTATAAGAAAACTTACCTTGCAAGTGCTAAATCCCAGTTTGTGGGCCTCTCTATGAGTTGTGGACCCCGAAATTCTCCTTCCAATAGGGTGACTCCACAGAGCACTTAATTGTAAATAATTGGCACGCCTGTTTTTCGCGATTATTCTTCTTAATGCTCTTCGGTCGGAATTTGTGATATTACTTTTTTTCACATATCGTGGCTTAATATTAACTGAACCAGTTACGTTATATCTTCTAACAATATTTCTCACACTGTACCGCGATAAGTCTAACAAAGTTGCAATTTCTGAGTTTGATTTCCCTGAATTAACTACCCAAATCTATTTTAAACGTATTCTGACAGCTGTGATTAATAAAAACAATTGTCATGGCTTTTATTTTTCACAGCCACCTTGCATTGAAATGAAAATAGGTTGATATGCTGTAATTGCAACATGTGTTATTTTTATGCTGCAAATTTGATTAGGGTGTGATAAAGTTGGTGTTTTTTACTATATATTATCAAAATATTTATTGTTAATATTTTAAACCTATAACACCCTGCTACATTTTTATTATTTGTGTTTGATAAGAAAAAAACTACGATTTCAATAGTTCGGCCAACTGAAGTGGGAAGGGGCTCGTACATGTTTGTCCGATTAAATCACCAATACCTACTTCAGTTTTTTCAGAAGCGTGTCGTATCGTCAGTCTTTCCTTCAATTGTAAGACGTTTTTATGGCCTTCTCGATCTTAATAGTTTTTCCTGCCCTCCAGAAAGGTAGGGGTATTACTAGATTTCTAATGTTCCGTGTCAGCTATCTATTATGACGTGTGTTAAAAATATCTATTTGCATCAAATTCTTCATGCTTTTGATTTATATCATCTGTTTTAAAATTCCCTACAGTTCAAAAAGAAAACATAACCTCACAATACGAGAGTGCTGACACGGAACAGTAGAAATCTAGAAATACCGCAGCCTTTCTGGAGGAGAGAAAAGACTATGAAAATCAAAGAAGCCATAAAGGCGTCCTAACCTAATTGTACATTTCACCTAAGAAAGAGGTTCATAGTATTTGAATGCAAGATGTGTGCATAGGTTTAGATATAGAGGATATATTTCCTTCAAAATTAAAATGTTCTACAATTACTCCTGTTCCAAAAGTGCAAAATTCTGAATTATATATAAACATGCGGCCAATTAATGTACTGCCAAATGTCGAGAAGCTGTTATTGACAAAATTTCAAGCAGAATTCAGAAAAAAGTATTCTACTGAAACAGCAATTCAAATTGTAGTAGAAGACTGGAGGCGAAATATGGACGAAAAAAAGTTTACAGTAACATTGTTCTTAGATTTCAATAGAGCATTTGAGACTATTGACAGGGAGAAATTGTTAACGAAATTGCATTGCTATGGATTTCAAGGTTCGGTATTCAACTTGTTACAAAATTATTTAATCAATACAAGTCAAAGAACTAAAATTGGCAATACATTATCAAACATTAAAAACATTTCGGTAGGTGTGCGACAGAGT